CACTTCGTGACATTGAATCTCAGCAGCCATTTCTTCGACCATTCCTGGAGCCCACAGAGGTCCTTCTGCAGCTCTTCACAGTCCACTTGGTTCTTAATTTCCCGAAATAACTTAGCGTCATCGGCAAACATTTGTATGGAGGAGTGTACAACGTCAGGCATGTCATTTATGAAACAAACAAACAAACAAACAACAGCGGGCCCAATACACTGCCCTGTGGTACCCCACTTGTGACAGGTACGGATGACGATTTCGTGCCATTAATCACCACACACTGCTTGCGGTCATGTAGAAAGTCTTCTATCCATGATAGGACATTTCCCCCGAATTCCTTACCCTTCCAGTTTGATATTCAGCCTTTCATGGGGTACACTGTCGAATGCCTTGGCAAAATCTAAGTAGATACTGTCGATATTACCACCCCGTTCCAGAATATGGGTCCAAATATCCAATACCTTGAGCAATTGTGTTAAACAGGGGCGCCACGACATGAAACCGTGTTGGCTATCCTTTACAAGATTGTTTTGTGTTAGATGTTCCATTGCGGCATCTCTGATAATACTCTCAAGTACTTTACATATTATGCTGGTCAGGGTCACCGGTCTATAGTTGTTCGCGGAGTGACTATCGCCCTTCTTGAAGATAGGACTCGCATAAGCCACTTTCCATTCACTGGGGACCTTTTGTTCATCCAGGCATTTACAAAACAGAATCTTTAGGGGCTCTGCAAGCTCGTTGCACAGCTCTCTTAGCACTCTAGGATGCACCATGTCAGGTCCGGGACTCTTATGGACCTTTAGCTTTGACAGTTTATTTCTAATACCCTCTTCTGTGAACACAATGTGGGTCAGTGCTGTGTCGAACCGTCTGTCCTCAAACGCAGGAAGGTTAGTTGCATCCTCTCTTGTGAACACTGAGGAAAAGAAGCTGTTCATTGCCTCAACTTTATCCTGGTCAGAATCTGCGTAACTACCATCTTCAAGCCTCAGGTCTGATACTCCTACTCGCGTTTTCAATTTTGATTTTGCATAGCGGTAAAACGCCTTTGGGTTTGACTTGACCTCGCGTGCAACCGGCCTCTGGAACTCCTTTTCAGCCCTTCTACACTCTATCTTTGCTTGGTTTCTGGCTCTTGCATACATCCTACTGTCTTGCTCATCGTTTGACCCAACCCACGTCTTGAATTTCTTGGTTCATGAGTAGGAATCCCCTCGTATTCTTAGAAGCACTGGGTTTGGTCTTGGGTATATATTTATCGATCAAATGGGTCATTTTACTAGTTATGATATTCAGCGTAGTGTCTGCGTTCTTGTACCTTAATAAGTCAGGCCAGTTGATACCCCTCATCTCTTCCCTCATCCCATTGTAATTTCCCTTGTAATATTTGCACCTTGGCCTGGCCTTATCTTGAACTAGGTAACAGTTAAATCTGAATGACAACACTGTATGGTGACTGGTGCCAACTGGGGCAAGGTGTTCCAGTTTGGCCACCATACCCTCCTCGTTTGTTATGATGAGGTCAAGTGGCTTGGGTGTTTGCTCCCCTCTGTAATGTGTCGGGTCTCTCACATGTTGGAACAGAAAATTATCTCTCAGAGTTTCTACAAAAAGAGTAGCACGGTTATTCAAGTCATTCGGGGTGGACTCGTTTCTCCAGTCGATGTCGCCATCGTTAAAGTCCCCCATGATAAGGAGGTGGCTAGGGTTGAGCATCGCCGCATTGTTTATTAAGGTTCTTAAGTTCCTTTGATTTAGTGGGCCACAGTGTATCTGTAGATACACCCGACGATAAGTAAGTCCCCTCCCTTTAATTTAATTTTACACCACTTGGACTCTTCAAGAACATCCTCTCCCTGTACCCTCGCCTGGCTGGCTCTAGGATCTTGCCTAGCGTAGATAACCACACCCCTCCTGCAGGATTCTTGAGTTAGGCTCGTAAATGAGTCATATCCAGCAATACTGAGCTCACATTCCTCTGGGTCGATTCTCCTGTTCTTGTACAACAGTTCAACAACTCCTACATTATCTGGTTGGTGTACTCTTAGTAGTGTTTCAAACTCCTCTCTCTTATCAAGGAACGTGTCAGTATTAGTGTACATGACATTCAAGCCAGAATTTGCTCTCGGTAACGTCTCTGCTCTTAGTAATAAACCCGCTCCCCCCACACTCTCAGAAGCTGCAGCATTTGCTAAGTACACTGTATTTTGCAGGGTGTGGTTAGAAATGTCATTGTTTACAAGGCGCTCGTTCCCTCCTCTCCGGTAGGCTGAGCTGGTGCCGCCTCCCGGGTGGGGGGTTGAGTGGGTGGGGGGTGCACTGCTGCCCCCTGGCCCTGTGTCGGCACACTTGTTTCCACTACCCTCCCCCTGAGTATAACCCATGTACACCTGTCCCCGTTCCTCCTCGACTCCTCCCTCTTCTGCTTCAAGTCCTGCAGGAGCTTCTTGTGCTGTTCCCTCTGCATTACCGTGCGGTCTGGGTGAATGAATACATACCGAAATGCCTCGCTCCTTGCTAAGTTTTTTGCCTGCCGAATAACTTGCCATTTCTCCTCCTCACTCACTAGTGTGATCCTGAGGGGGCGAGGCTTAGCCCCCTGCTTTTGTCCCAGCCTCCTCACATCCTGAGGGGTTGCTGGAATCTTCAGAACCTCTGTGCAAATATTTTGAAACAGCACCTTGTCGTGTGTTTCCTTACTCACAGTTCCCTCCGCCTGGCTCTCGGTGACTCCAAAAACTATTACATTGTTCCTGCGCTGGAGCCGTTCCTGGTGTTCCTCCTCTCCCCTAACAGTAGGTCCGTTAATTTTCATTTCTTCGACACACTTCTTCAAAGTCCCAATCTGCTGTAGAACCTGTACTGATTCTGCATTACTCTCCGCCCCCCTCCGTGGCCCTCCTAATACGTCAGCATAACTCCTCTTAGCAACCACCTCCATTCTATTAGCTACTTCCTCAGTCTTAGCAAGGATCTCTTTCCCAACTTGCTCCAGTTTGTCAACCAGCAGGGCTCCTGCTTCATCTATTTTCGTCCCTAGAGAACTCGTTCCCTTATGGATTGCAATCGCTTCATTCACCTTGACTATGCAGCCAGAGCAATACCAGCAACAGCCATCATGCTTTACGGCAGTTAGTAACTTCCTAAACGTTGCATTAGTCAGGCCTGTATCCTCCATATCCGACGTCTCCCTGCAGTAATCACATATCAAACTCATGGTTGTTGTTGTTGTGGGGGGGGGGGTGCAGACTGTGTATAAATCTACACCTATTTCAAAAAAATAAAGAGAGAAAAAGTACTTAGCTACTCTCTGTTGCCTATAGAGTTGTCGTCTGTGACTGCGTACACTGTATCTCCCTGTGAATGGTGTATTGTAGGCACAGTTTCAGTCCTTGAGAAAGCACACAATCAACATAAAATTTAAAGTCTCTGTGGCACCTATGACACGACTTGGTTTCAGCTGGCACGGTGCCTTTCCAGCTTGCTTGCTAGTGAGCGCTCACTTTAAGTTATTTACAACTTCAGCGGTCACTGATGACACTATGAACTATCACTGTGTACACTGTATCTCCCTGTGAGTGGTGTATTATAAACACAGATTCAGTCCTTGAGAAAGCACACAAACAAAGTAAAATTTAAAGTCTCTGTGGCACCTATGACACGAATAGGCTGGCAGTTGTCCTTACCAGCTCGATTGCCAATATGTATTCACTTTAAGTTATTTATAGTCTCTTCTGCATTCACTGATGACAACTATGAACTGATTTAACTAAAGGCACAGTACTACACTCCCTGGTTGGCCTTTATCACAGCCGTGACCACAACACCCTAAAAAATAAAATGAAATAAAAGCTTTGTCATGTGGCAGTGATTGTGTGGTTATAGGCCTGTGACCTTGGCTGTACCTCCAACTCGGTGGAAATTGAGTTTTCAAAAATACAATCGTGTCTAGCATTAAAAGTCCTACATCGATTTACACTTTCACATCACTAAGACGATCTTGACGAACTTATGTAATCACTGTCCAATTTCTGCCGCTCTACATCGAAGGCCCGAATGCCTAACACGCTTTGTTACAGAGACGCAACACGACCCGCCCGCCCGCCGTGATCTACACTATGGGAACGCCATCATATCTATATATAAAAATTGTGTTGTCAATGTGTACAAGTCATGTGACTTTTTTTCCTGTGGATTTTATTTCCGTCCACCAGTTTGGTTGCACTCTGGATGTAAACAAGAGTCAAATGATATGTTATCAGTAAGTTTCATTTATATCATTATATGTGTAGTACAGTATAAGTTTATTTTAATGCTAATATATTTGCATTTTAAATACTTTCCTAATAATTTGTTTGAATAAAATCCATGCCTTTCAATTACAAAATATTTAAAAACCTTAATTGAAACCGAAATGCAGTTTAAACTTGCCCGAGAACTGTAATTTGTTTTTTCCTCAGAGCTCAGTTTTCAGGTGAAAATCCTGACTGAAAATGGCAGTATCATCGTTTTTCTCCCCATGAATGAGGAATTTTGCATAATGTGATAACCCCTTTAGGCGGTCCACTAGTCTCAAGCACTGTTGACAAGAACAGGGCAGAATGTATCTGTGCCTACAATAATGTTGGTCAAGTCTGGTCTTAAATGAGCATAAACTTGGTGCCATTAAAACTCTTTCTGGCAGATTATTCCAAGAGTTCACAACTCACTCCAAAAAAATTGTTAGCTTTACAATTTTCTGTACTTGTGGCTGGCTGTAGTCTTAGGCTGTGACCTATTGTGGGTCAGGATACCTCTAGCTCAGGGTATGAACAGTTGACAGAGTAATGCCCTTTGAGGCACTTATAAACTTATATCAAGCACCCTTACCCGTCTATAGTATAAGCTAGGTAACTGCAGGTATTCTAATCACTCTTGATACCTGATGTGCTGTTATTCCCTTTCCATCAATTTAATATCTCTATTTCCTGAAAGAGTCATCGTTATGTACACAATGTCCCCAGGAACATCACTTTTGCATGCAGCCTGGATGCTGTCCGTGTTGGGCACGGTGGGGGTTGTGTGGGCCAGTGTCCCACTGGTCACCCCCACCGTAGGTCATACCTGGCCCCGCCCCCAGATGAGCGAAACCCAGGACACCTACATGGTCATCAGGCCTGACACTTTCAAGTAAGTCTCCTTGGTGTGTGATAGAGGGAGGGGGGAGACTACAAACATAGACACGAACCTAACCAAATCCAAGCTTGACAAACCTTTGTAAACCAAACCTAACCTATCCCCCCAAAAATTACCATAACCCAACCTAACCTAACCAATTCCAAGCTAAAGTACCCTTACCCAAGTAACCCTAACCCAAGGACCCTGAACTCCTGCAGTAATTAACAGTACAGTAGCACAGTAGTTAAGTTGTTCATTATTTTGCCTACATTGTTTTATACCTTGATCTACTTACAGTAAACGTTGCAAATGTTATCCACGAACAATATTTACTGTAACCATTTCTCATACTGTACAGTCATCCCTGCACAACCACGGTTTTAAGTATCCACTTTTTACATATCATCAGTTTTTCTTACCCTGGTAAAGTTTTGGTATTATTGTATTTCTGCACCCATCATTCCTACCCCTAATCTATTATCATATTCGAATAAGACGTCTAGTTATAAGATAATTTTCTTCTATTACATTACCGTCGCAAATGTATAATAACAGAGATAGCGTATCCAAAATTTTCTCTATTTTCTTCCATTAATCTTCCGCCATTATCGCCTACCTCACCTCCCACACTGCGGGTCTCCTTCATAAATCATCACGCGCATGCGTTCCAGTATACGTCACGTGGCCAATCAGAAGCATTTTTTTTTTGCAACCAATTAAAATGATGTGGTTTAATTCGCAGTATTTTTGGCCCAATCAAATTCGATTTTTATTTAGGGTCTCAAATTTCGAAATTCAAATTCATTTCTGACCATGAAGTCTGCGATGGGTGTCACTTCAATTATATGGAGCTGATAGCGAGTTTTTTGGGAAAAAAAAGAAGAAACTATAGCATTTTTTCGATCTCATGGTATTCTCCCGACCTCAGTAAAGTGTAAAGTGCAAGAACGAATGTAAATTTCGTCAAGGCCAATATAGATGGCATTGTGGTAACTCGAACGACGAACGGAACCAGGCCAATAAGGCAAGAAATAAGTGATTCCATCATATGGTGAGAGTCAATTAGGTTAGGTCAGGTCGGGTCAGGTCAGGTCAGGTTTATGTTTTTCTAGTGTTTTTTTGTATTTTGTATTCGCTTAGCCATTATTATTTTTCGGAAAATGTCCCACCAAAAAAAAAAAAAAAAAAACGGCCAATTTCCAACGGAAATGAAGGTCATAAGTTGTGTGACTCATAACCGATCTAAACACACATAAATACAATAGAAAAATATATTTTTGACTTTCTAACAGAGTTGGGTGCACTTATACAAATTTACCAACGTTTTAAGTAACCATGGATTTTCACTGTGAAGCCATGTAGCGAGCAAGGAGGATTTAATCTGCCCATCTCGGTGAAATGCACAGACGAATAATAAGCTTAGGGCGTTTCCCTGATCTGCACGATACTCTGTTTTCATGTCTATTAGCCTCTACTAGAAGATTAACTGTGAGTATTAGCATTCTACCAGTCCTGCCCTAGCCTAGCCCAACCTGCCTTGTCTTTATCACAAAGACCGTTGTATCGTAAACATACCAGTTAGACCACTCTCGATTTTGTTTTAAACTAATATCGTAGTTTTATTCATTTTTTGCCCTGAGAAATGGCTTCAAAGCATAAATCTAGTAATGAGACTAGTAACAGAGGCCAAGAAAAGTGTATGTGTGGGGGTGGGTGGAGTGGTCAGGGTGTACATGGCATGGAGTACCATTACTATAGGTAGGCAGTGTCCCAGCAGGCTGCATCAAGACCAGGTGATTGTTCCAGGCATCATTACTGCTGCCAGTCTGTGTTCCAGGCAGTGATATCCCACCGGTTATCACCTAATGTCCTACAATCCTAGGCATGGATACTGTATTTGGTATTCCACCTGGCAGAGTTGTAAAAAGTAATGGACTTTGTTACTTAAGTAAAAGTATTGTTACATTGGCAAAATATTACTCAAGTAAAGGTAAAAGCATCCAAAGTTGAATGTACAGTATTAAAGTAGAAGCAAAAAAAGTATCTCATTTATAAAGTACTGTACTCAAGTACTGAAAGTAAAAGTAACAACAAAATTATTAATTGTCTCAAATATTAAAATAAATCCACAGTAATTAAAAAAACTGGTTAACTAATGATAAAAATAAAAGACACATAGTATTACACATGTTTATTTGCAAATTTTTCTATTGATATTAATCAATAACTGATTCTCAAAATTATGGCTGTCCAATCAGGATCTTTTTGGCCTAAATATAAGCCCCGTATCATCTACCGAAAGATAATTCGCTCAGCCGTTCATCTCCCTACAGTTCATTACAGGGATAGTGAACGGGCTAAAAATATATCTAACCAACACTATGATCACTTTCTTTCTTATCCACACAAGTATTTTCAACGTGGACTTATGGTCCGCAGACATAATGTTGTCTTTGCTTGTATTATGTTAGGATACGGACCTATCTGGCAAGTATCTGAGGTGGGGTATGACCTGCACTTCTCTTCCTGTAAACTCTGTAATTATCCCAATGCTAACACCCTTCAACGCTATTGCCTTGACTGTCCCACTGTCAGGGATCTCCTACCACAGGACGAGTCACTAAGCACTATACTGTACTGTATGTCACCAGCTACTTATTCGTAATAATTTAAATTAAATTCTTGTGTGCTACCTTCACTTTGGTGGGCACAGACCTTAACCCATTGTCCTTGAAGCATATCAATATTGTCTCCATATCACAAGTCATAGTGTGTCCTGTGAGACACGAGTACCCATGGATTAGTGTCTGACTGCATGGTCTTGTGACTTGGCTTGTCGCCCCCTGGGATGCAATAAATTAATTAAATAATAAATAATAAGCCCAGCATGACTAAGCAGATGCTCACAAGCAGCAGATGCAGGTAAAAAGGTGTTAAGCATGAGAGATAAGTCACATAATGTCAGGAAAGACCTCAATAGCTCCATTCCTTCCTCTGGGCATGCCAAGTAGCTATCAAGCTCCTTCAGTTGAGTTTTTGGATGATTGTTGCCTCCACAGTGACTGAGTCTGACTAAGACTTAACATGAACTATCCCTCTAATTGGGGTGTGGCTGTGGTGTTGTCACTTTTCGATTCTAATTGATAAATACTGAATTTTTTGCACCCATAACATCTGGCGGGTGCTGGGGGGCAGTGGTACGTACTTACCGTAGTTAATTAAGAAAAATTTTAAATACACTGAGTCTCACACATATATAGTATATAGATACAAGCTTTATATATAAAGTGGAATTATGTACAGCATTTTGGAATATTAGACCAACTGACTGACGTTTAACGAGAAAAACCAATTCCCCGAAGGAAAGGTGGGAAGAAAAGAAGGGATTTGATGGGGGAGCAGAGGATAAGAGGGTAGGCTAGGTGAGGTGGGTGGTCAAGGTGCTAATGAACACAAGAAGGTCACAGGGAAAGTCCACTGTCATGGCCATTGGCTACTGCCACCTGACCTGACCTGATGTCACCTCATCTCACAAGTCCTCTAGGTATGTGACCGTATGGTGTCTTCCCACACCGTACTGGTGCCTTCACAGCCCCACCCACACCATACCTCCATCCACACAACTCGTTTACTGTGGTTAACGATTAATTAATTAATTAATTAATTAGTTTGCATGTGACAAGTAATGATTTTTTTCAATTTTGTTGGAGTAAAAGTATTAGAAAACTATACTTTAGTAAAAGTAAAAGTACGAAAAAAATTTAGCACTTTTTAAACAGTAAATACCCAAAAATGTTACTTGAGTATAGTAGTCAAGTAAGTTTATTTAGTTACTTTACAACTGTCACCTGGTAACATCTATGTAACTACTAGTTGTGAAATGTCAGGTAATCCCATCTGCTAGTCACCCTGTACTGTACTAGTCAGTTTTTTCCTCGAGTCTTGAAAGAGTGTAGGCCCTACACTGTAGGGAACAGATTAGCGGACCCCTCGTAAACTTATTTACAAAGTCATTAGACACCGGAGTTGTGCCAGACTTGTGGAAACAGGCAAATGTAGTACCCTTATTCAAAAAGGGAGACAGAGCATCAGCGTCAAATTACCGGCCGATCAGTTTGACGTCAGTAGTGGGGAAATTTCTTGAATCAATTATAGCAGATAGCATCCAATCGCATCTAGAGAAAAGCAAATTAATCTACGACTCTCAACATGGGTTTACAAAGGGAAAATCTTGTCTAACAAATCTGCTGACGTTTTTTAGGAAAGTCTTCGAGGTAGTAGATAATGACGAAAATTACGATGTTATTTACTTAGACTTTAGCAAAGCATTTGACAGAGTACCGCATCAGAGGCTTCTGAGAAAAATTAAGGCTCATGGTATCGAGGGGAAAGTTTTAAATTGGATAAAATCATGGCTCACCGATAGAACGCAGAGGGTCAGCGTAGATGGTGTTAAATCTGAGTGGGGCCGTGTAACCAGTGGAGTTCTCCAGGGGTCAGTACTAGGCCCACTCTTGTTCATAATCTATATAAACGATCTGGATACTGGGATCAGCAGTGACATAAGCAAGTTTGCGGATGACACCAAAATAGGGCGGCAGATTAATTCAGGGCAGGATGCAAATGCATTACAGGAGGATCTAAATAAACTGCAGGGGTGGTCTGAAAAATGGCAAATGAAATTCAACACCAGCAAGAGCAGCGTACTTAATATTGGAAGAACAAATACTGATAATGTATACAGCCTTAACAACATCAACCTAGAGAAGTCGACTTGTGAAAGAGACCTAGGGGTACTTGTGAGCCCGGACCTACGGCCTAGAAAACAGTGCGTTAATGTTTGAAATAAGGCAAACAGAGTATTGGGTTTTATATCTAGAAGTGTAAGTAACAAGAGTGCAGAGGTCTTATTGCAACTATATCTTGCGCTAGTCAGGCCGCACCTCGATTATGCGGTTCAGTTCTGGTGCCCTTATTATAGAATGGATAAAATTCACTAGAGTCGGTGCAGCGAAGAACGACAAAAATGATTCCAGGACTTAGAAACCTTCCATATCAAGATAGGTTAAAGAAACATAACTTGCATTCCCTAGAAAGACGAAGAGTGCGGGGAGATATGATAGAAGTATTTAAGTGGGTGAAAGGAATCAATAAAGGGGATATAGATAAAGTTCTTATAATATCCGAGCAGGATAGGACTCGGAGCAACGGATTCAAGTTGGATAAGTTTAGGTTTAGGAGGGAGATAGGAAGGAACTGGTTCACAAATAGGGTGGTGGACGAGTGGAACAAGCTTAACAACTTTGTAGTAAGTGCGGGAACTCTGGAAAGTTTCAAAAGGAGGCTAGATAGATTCATGGATGATAGAGAGTGGTAGTAACTCTCGACAGGAGCTGCCATGCACAGGCCAACCGGCCTATTGCAGACTCCTTATTTTCTTATGTTCTTATGTTCCATCCAGCTGGCACCTTGTAATCTTTGTTTGTACAGTACAGTACAGGGTAGTTGTTTCTGAGTACACTTAATGTTCACACAAACACTATCTGGCTTTTCTATTTACAGTATTTACCAAAATATATATTCGCTCACAATTATTATTAATTATTATAATTATTATTAACTGATTTTAGGCAACCGTCCTTTTTCAAGAGAATGTAGGAGGTATACAGTAAACCTCCCGCAATTCAAAATACCCGTATTGTAATAGGAGGTTTAGCCCTTACGAATTCTGAGGGACAACTTCTTAGGGAAAAAACAAACAAAATAACAGTAATTTTCCGTTATCTACCCCAATAAAAATTTTAATGTTTCTAAACACAGTACCATATTTAGGGGGGTTATCAGACATAATGGCTCAAACACTAGGCAATAATTGAAAAACAAGTGGAAAAAGCTTATGCGGTAGACTGTAGACCCTGACTGACTGTCAAGGTCAGACACACGTATACAGTACTGTACTGTAGTTGCTTACACTGAGGCGGGCGGTCACATCCCATGGCGACATGTGCATCTTCTTTACTCATACTATTTGTAAATGTCTTATAATTTGAAATTTTACCAAATATTATGAAAACTGTAATATAAGTACAGTACTGTATACAGTATAACGTAATATTTTCAAATGTCTCTCATATTTCAAAAATTTGCCAAATATTAAAAAACTTATAACTTATATTTCGTAACAGCAAATCATTATGAATCACGAGTGATTTCGAAATAGGGGTGTACAAATTATGGGGGTTTTACTGTAATTTACAGAGCTCCTTTAACAAGTTTGTCACATATGAGATACAGAGGTTAATTCCACTGAGGCCTGGGCATTTGGTGATGACCTGTACAAATCACAGGTGTGTGGAGGGCATAGGAATGTCATCAGCAGGTGAGAAGGAAGTGATAAGGCATGCTTAGTTGACTATCTTTTACACGGTCAGCGTCAGGGAAGACTGTGACGTAGTGTGTGGACACAAACTTCCGTTATTTTTTATAATTTTATTCTTTCATTATTGCTTTTTTTTATTTACAATTTTAAGTTTTAATGTTAGTATGCAGTTAAAGAGGAAAATAAATCAAGTTTTTGAAGTACGTACTGTATTACATGTATTTATTTTACTTTAAAGTGAATACAGTATACTGTATTATAGGACTCAGGGCATGTCTCTCTTGGGGTCTGATAATTTAATCTAACCCCTTATTACCCATAGGGCCAACCCCTTTCCAACCACAGTTTTGCCAGCCATGGGTTTTTCAGGAACCTAACCCATGTAGTTGGAGAGGAAGACTGTACAGTATTAAATGTAAGTGGAACAAAGTAATTAATTATAAAGTACTATACAGTATTGGTAATTTGCAGGTGCACAGGGACTTCTGGGGTCACCTTGTATAGCATCACTCCAAGCATAGACAGTGTCCTTGTGTTATCGGTAAGATTGGTTCTTGTGTCTTTGTCAGGTTCAGCACTGTAGGTCATGACTGTGACATCCTGCAAAATGCTCTCAAGAGGTACTCCAAGATCATGTTTACCTCCTCCCACCTCTCCAAGGTATTTAATGTAAGGTTTTCTGCTTATGAACTTATTAGGTAAAATAGGTAAATAAGATATTTCCCTACACTTATGTAACGCTTTGAAGTATGAGAAACTTTACTCACACTTAGCAGGATACATATATTAACACTTCATAACTCTTTGTTTGTTTTGTTTTTCCACTATTTTACCTCCTTAATGTAAAGAGACTCCATTACTTTTCTTTCCATTGACCTTCCCCTTTTCCCCTACAGCAAGAAGAACCAACCATGGCGTAAGGATAATGACTTCAAAGGGTACCTGGACTCTGTGAAGGTCAACCTCCTGACACCCTGTGAGGACTATCCCTATCAAGACATGGATGAGCACTACGAAATCAAGGTCAGAGTGGATAAGATTGATGTAATGGCATGACTAACTCTAGACTGTTTTCTAGGGCAGTTAGGAATTAGATGGGATTATTTTTTTGATGGGCGGACATTTTGTCACCAGACAATTCATCACTGGTTTATTGAATACATTTTTACATTTACTAAATTTAGATAATAATGTCTTTATTTTGGAGGTGATGAAACCATGGTTAGGTTAGGTTTATATTGAACTGGTGACGAATTATCTTGGTACTATTTTTGAAGTGGGTGTATGAATGTACCTTGATCATTTTCTGATTGCATTGGGCTTACTGTACTGTGGCTCTCTTGTAAAAATCAGTAGGAGAAAAGCTTTGGCTATTCATTAGGCCAGGGTGGAGTCAATCTGAGTCAAAATGCAAATTAAGTGTTGAGTCATGTTGGGTCATGGTCAGTGTTGAGTTATACATTACTGAGTGTCTTCAGATGAGTAATGGGTCAACTTGAGTTATTTATAGGTACTAGGTCATTCTTCAGGTTGGATTTGAATCAGTTGAGGCTGGGACTTTACTGAATCATTCTTAAGATGAGAATGGGAACTGTTACTTACGTCTTGTTTGGTTTTTCTTGCCATCGACAGCTTAGGTCATTACGGCCGAGTTATGGATCATTTTGGTGGTGAGGTAACATTGGGCAGTTCCTCAAGTAATCATGATTCATTCTCTCTGTCAGAATACTGTATGTCATTCTTACAATGCAGAATCATGGTGGATTATGTTAAAGGCCATGGTGAGTGAAACATCACATTGAAAGACATTATTGATTAAACTGGGAACGTGCACAAGTTAATCAGAGGTAAGGAGACTACGGCAGTGAGAGGTGAAGTCTAAAAAATTGTCGAACATGTTTTAGAATCCATGCTCTATGTCTTCCTCCATGCTTTGGTTATTATAGAGACTGTGTGTGTGTGTGTGTGACCAATTGTACAATAAAAAGTAAGTCAATGCAGTGTTTTTCACTGAATATTGATAAATAAAGTATACAGTCAACCCTCACTTTACGCGGTCCCACATTCCGCGTTTCCGTTCTAGCGGTGCCCTTGGAACTGGGATGCTCATTCCGCGGTGCGTGTACCCCTTTACATGAAGTGTCCGGCTCGGCACTATTTTAAATTCGCCCCCCACCACCTGCTCCTCCTCCGCCTATGGCCAAGCAGCAGCAGTAAGGTTACTCAGTGCATGTCTGTTGCGTCCTTCCTGACGTCATATAATGATGTCCGGACTGTAATTGGCCATGCATCCCTACCTCCCTCCGCTTCCCCTGGCTAGTGGTTTAAAAGTAATATGACGTGTCCCACCTGGGAGGGAGGGAAGGAAAAAGACGACGTTTGACCCAGCACGCCTTAAATTTCATCCTCAGGCCACACCGTGTAATACGTTACATCCATTGTTCTGTAAAATGGCTTCCGCCGGACCACCCCGCTCCCAGAAAACCTTTTCCTTGCCTCGACCCAGCCGCCTAAGCCCAGAAGACGACGTTTCATAAGCTATGAGGTAGAGGCTAAGATCATCCAAGGTTTGAAAGAACCAAAGACAAGTTGAGTTTAGCACTGCATAGCATGGGTGAACGAATCTACGATCCGGACGATAAAAAGGATGCAGCCAAGATAAAGGGCACATGAAGATCACAAAGTCTACAAATTCTTCTTTATGATCGAAAATATTTTTACAACCAGGTGCTTCTCAAGACGGAAAAATTACTTGTGAGCTACTTGGTGCGTCGGTAGCGATGGAACGACCAGCAGTCGACCGCAGCTCTGTTAAGGAGTATGCGTGAACTTCCTTATGCTACAGTGTCACGAAAGATGGGAATTGAGAGCTTTAAACCGTAACACTTCCTCTGGGTGGTTACCAGAGGTTTTAAGATGCTGGAACAAGATCACCAATATAAACGGTGGTGGTGAAAGAAGCTAAACGCTGACCGTGCTTTCTGACGAGGAATTTCCTCCGTTTTTGCGTGAAGTTATGGAGGAAGGACAGTACCGACGACCAGGTGTTTAACATGGACGAATCTGGTCATTTTGGAAAAAGCTACCTTCCAAGACCTTCGTTTGTGAAGAATGCCAGCAAGATTCAGGGGCCGGAAGAAGATGCAGAAGGAGCGCATCACCAATCCTGTTTACCCACCAATGCCTCCGGTGCCTGCTAGCTCCAAGTTGCTCGGTGATCCACAGCCCGCAAGCCCTTACGCCTACAAGAGCATAGGCACTTGGCTTGAAAGCTAAATGTCACTGGCTGACTGCGTAAGGCATGGATGTTCTCTCTACTGTCCCTCTCCTGGTTTGATGACTGTTTCGTTTCCCGATGGCAAGAAAATTCGCGAGCAACAGAATGTGCCATTAAGATTTTTATTTGCTGCTGGACAACGCGCAGGACACTCACTTCTGTTGAATCATCTTTAACGTAAAGTGGTCTTCCTTCCTCCCAACACTACGTCTATATTACAGCCCATGGACAGAGTTAATCTGTAATGTAAAAGCTGCATTCTCAACAAAAAAAATTCCAGCTCTGAACGACTACACCAACAGGGAAGAGTTCGTAACCTGAGTGACACCGCCACTACGATACTTAAGAGCGAAGACGGATCAACGGTTGGCAGGAGCAAAATACTTTTCAAGTAATTCTGGAGAATATTTAACATCAAGAAAGCTGTGGACTTCTTGGTGAGCATAGGATCAACTGTCTGTAGCAACTGTTCGTCACGCATGGAGACATATGTTACCAAGGCATTTCCGAGGCGTAAGGCAGAGTCAATCTGTGACTGGTGAGAGTTCAGACTGTTGCAGTAGCAGTGGACCTTGCCAGAGAAGCTGCGCTAGTGTTACAGCTGCAGGCTTCTCCGAGACCACCAGCGGAGCATCCTGGAGGTGATAAGGGACTGATGTGACTACCGACGAGATGGTAGATGAGTATTGACGTCAGTGAAGAGGCAGGTGGTGCGTCATCCCAAGAAGAACACCGCTTATCCCATAGTAATGTTAGGGGTGCCGCCAGTGTGTGGAAAATCAAGCTCCTCCTTTCCGACGACCGTAAGCGCAAACCGTTGTGAAATCTTCACTACCCAGCTGTTGCAGACTATGGAGCCCTAACTGGGTTTATCACGACCTTATAAGCACCACAGCCGTCAGCAGAAAGCATAACAAGGGTTCTTAGCGCAGCCACCATTGACCCAAGCCAGTGATAATAACCCAGGGGTAGAGACAGTGAAGATGACTTTGAGGGATTTGTCAGAGGCCTGACAAGTGTGGATGACAGTGATGGTGACTCACCTGAGGGCTGATAGCCTGCCCTCTGCCTCAGAACCAGCCTCCATCCCATTATGCCATTGTCTCTTCTACTACGTGGCGTCGTTCCAGCCCTAACTGATTTTCCCTAACCTAACCTTTATTTTCCTAACCAACCTTTATTTTCCCTAACCCTAACTTATAACTTCTATATTTACTTGTTTGTGCATACCATCAAAGTTAAGATAAAACTTTTACTACAACATAGTTGTGTGTTGTCAAAAAGTGAGTTTGAAATTCGGCCGGTCTCTATTTCAATTAATCCCAAATGTTATATTTGTTCACTTTACGCGTTTCTCACTTTCTCCGCATACTATACAGTATTGACACCAGATGTTTACTTAATATTCTCCATCAGATTGACAGTCCTGATGCACCAAGGGAAGGCACTATCATCTCTCAGAGTATCTGGGGTATCCTGAGGGGGCTGGAAACCTTTTCCCAGCTCTTGGTACCTGATGCTTCAGCTTTCAATGTCAACTCCACACAGATCATGGACTTTCCCAGATTTGCCTTCAGGTGGGTGCTGAGGAACTCTTGCTCTTTTAAAATGTAAGAAATATTATATACAGGTACACCACCGATTTTCCGGATTATCCGTTTTGCCGGACCAACCGAGGTCACGTAATAATAATTCAACAATACACCTCCAACCCTCTAATTCAGGGCCGGCGCTACCCACTAGGCGAACAAATTCAGGGCAAACTTGGATAAAATTAAAAATGAAGGGAAAACTGTGGTGGACACTGTGGTGGAGCCGTGGAGGGTCGGAGCAGGATGTTAGAAGGGTGGGGGGGGTTGAAGGGAGGCGAGGTAGGTAGACGGTAGCCGACTGTGCTAATATTATTCGTTAACCCTCCGGAGAATAACCCGGGTCCTTATCTTTGGCGGCCTGGAGAACTGTCGAGCAGTGACCTGAAGGCTGACATCTGAGAACCCTTCTCCCAACCCCACCATCCCTCCTTACTGCCACTTACTGCCAGGGCGGCCAGCCCCCCTTCCCTGTCTTTGTCGGGATGAGGCAAGGTTACCTGACCTCTGAAGTTTACGTCAAGGATTTATTGACTTAATGTAATAACAATAATTGGTTATTTGCATGGGTGAAGTAATAAAGCCACAAGATGAAAACAATGTAGTCATGGGTTACTGTACCTACATTAGCTTATCAAAACTTTCAAGGGGGCGCACATCTAAAGGCTTGCCTAGGGCGCCAAATCATCTTGCACCGGCCCTGCTCTAATTATACACCTCCTGTGTCTCAAAAGCACTCTGGACTGCTAGAAACTTAAATTAAACAAATACTAAATGTAAATTAAATGTGAAAAAGGTATAATTTTGAGCAACACTTTTACTGTACACACTTTGTAATCAAATGTACTACACTAAAGGATTAAAACTTTTATGACATAAAAATATGTGATGTTTATACTCAACTTAATCACTGTCTTACAAGGATTCCAATAATGCAACTTAAATTTTACTAAGTCTAGTCAGTGACATTTTATAAGATAAAAACTTTATGCCTAAAACTGCCTTCACCCTGGCTGGGAGGAAGGAGGAGGGGAAGGTGAGGTGTTGACAGCTGTCTGGGAGGGGAGATAGGGAGATAACAAAGTGCTTAGTTATCAAATAGGAGTTTAAGTTTTGTGCTTATAAAATGTCACTGAATTGACTTGGCAGAATATAACTTACATTGCTAGAATTCTTTTAAGATAGTGATTAATTTAATTACAAACATCCTATAGTTTGCACTAGACATAAAATTTTTAGTAATTAACTTAATATATTTGAGTACAGGTTTGTCCTAAGGACAATTATTTCTTTTAACTTTTTTTTCTCACAGTACAGTATGTATTTAGGATGGTGTGTGCATGTAAATTAGTAAAAATGAATGAAGAAAGTTACATATCTTTACCTGAACATAAGAGTTGAAAAACTTGTACTCAAATGTACTACACTAAAGGACTAAGCTTTTTATCTCTTGTGCAAAATATGTGATGTTTATACTCAAATTATTCGTTGTCTTGTAAGGATTCCAGCAATGCAATTTATATTCTGTTAAGTATAGTCTGTGACATTTTATAAGATAAAATCTAAGCCTGAAACTACCTTCACCCTGGCTGGGGGAGGGGTGAGGTAAGGTGCTGACACAGCTGGGCGGCAAAGGTTACCAAGTGCGTATTTAACAGTCAAATAGAGGGACTAAGTTTTTCACTTATAAAATGTCAGTGAATTGACTTGGCAGAATGTAACTTACATTGCTGGAATTCATGTAAGATAGTGATTAATTTAGGTACAAACATCCCATAGTTTGCACTAGACATAAAATATTGCAGGGAGGGTTGGAAGTTAAGTGCCCTTGTGGGGTTCAGGATGTTTGGTTCACACTCAGGATGGGATGGAGAAAGGAAACTCACAGTGTGCTCTCATGTATACATGTTGTATTGGATGTACAATGCAACTTGGTGCTGGGAAGGCAGCATGGTTACAAGCGTGATGTAGAGAGAGCTGGTTTGGTGAGGATGCTCAGAGGAGGACCAGCTTGTGGGTCGCCATGCTCTCCGGCGGGAGTGAGGACCGCCAGGCAGGCGGAGGAGGAGGAGGTGTTGCTGGCTGGTTGGTGTTGGTAGAAAGAGCCAGGTCACCACGAGGTCAGGTCTTAAATAGCGGGGGGTAGGCGTGGCTTAGTAGTTGACCCCCGCTCCGTGATGTATGGCGGCGCTGGTTGACCTAGACCACGAGGCATACACTGGGGAACTGGTGGGGTCGGCTACTCAGCGACAAACAGCATTGTAGGGGAGAAATCCACTACACCCTCTCGTAATTTTTTCTGAACTAAAGGAGGTGCCGGACCATCAGTTCCCGGAAAATCAATGGTGCACCTGTACTAGTTTCTCTACTATAGGTATTTCAGACTTCATAATTAAAAGAGAAAGAAAAAACCAAGAGATGATAGCGATGTTCCATCTGCATACTCTATAGTTAAGGAATTTCAGAAGTTTTCACCCCATATCTAGAGCAGTTGAATTTGAGATTTAGAGCAACAAAATTAATTACTGTATTTCCTTTAGGAACATGATCTTACTGATATTGTATAAACAATGATCATTTATGATGACCAGAGTTTCCCTTATGTTAGTGATGCCTTCCCAGATCTTAGGTAGGTGTAAGCATGTTTTGCTCTGTTTAGGTTGGTGCTTGCACAAGTGTGCCCAAAGTGCCTTTGCATATTTGCGATTGCACTTGTGCTCAAATGAGCACTTGTGCTTGAACAGTAAATGTGTGTTTTCCTGCATTTGTACGTCTCTGTTTTCACATGAACAGTTCCAGTCAAAAGTAATCATCCACTCCACCACCTAACCCCTGCGCCTGGCCTGGTCTTTACAGCACAGTAAGTTGCGTGGGGAGAGGGAATGGTCGAATTAGGCCAGGGATGTTTGTGGGGGGGGAGGAGAGACAGGAGGTTACATGGTGAAAGTCATGCCCCTTCTCTCTTCTGTTGTCATATCAGGGTTTTCCCTACGGAAGCCAGGGGGCGCTGGGGGTGGGAGGACAAGAGGTTACTGGTGGTGAACAAGTCATGCCCCCTCCTCTCTTATGTTGTCATATCAGGGGTTTTCCCAAACGGAAGCCAGACGCCTTATCGACCCCAATGGCACATTACCTGCAAAAAGCTCACTTGCATTCCTCCCCAGAATCTCAAGTAAACGCAAAGATAACCAAGGGAAAAGGTGTGCTGTAGCGGGCGGGTCGTGTTGCGTCTCTGTAACAAAGCGTGTTCGGCATTCGGGCCTTCGATGTAGAGCGGCAGAAATTGGACTGTGATTACATAAGTTCGTCAAGATCGTCTTAGTGAGGTGAAAGTGTAAATCGATGTAGGACTTTTCATGCTAGACACGATTGTATTTATGAAAACTCAATTTCCACCGAGTTGGAGGTACAGCCAGGGTCACAGGCCTATAACCACACAATCACTGCCACATGACAAAGCTTTTATTTTATTTTATTTTTTAGGGTGTTGTGGTCACGGCTGTGATAAAGGCCAACCAGGGAGTGTAGTACTGTGCCTTCAGTTAAATCAGTTCATAGTTGTCATCAGTGAATGCAGAAGAGACTATAAATAACTTAAAGTGAATACATATTGGCAATCGAGCTGGTAAGGACAACTGCCAGCCTATTCGTGTCATAGGTGCCACAGAGACTTTAAATTATATTTTGTTTGTGTGCTTTCTCAAGGACTGAAACTGTGTTTATAATACACCACTCACAGGGAGATACAGTGTACACAGTGATAGTTCATAGTGTCATCAGTGACCGCTGAAGTTGTAAATAACTTAAAGTGAGCGCTCACTAGCAAGCAAGCTGGAAAGGCACCGTGCCAGCTGAAACCAAGTCGTGTCATAGGTGCCACAGAGACTTTAAATTTTATGTTGATTGTGTGCTTTCTCAAGGACTGAAACTGTGCCTACAATACACCATTCACAGGGAGATACAGTGTACGCAGTCACAGACGACAACTCTATAGGCAACAGAGAGTAGCTAAGTACTTTTTCTCTCTTTATTTTTATTGAAATAGGTGTAGATTTATACACAGTCTGCACCCCCCCCCCCACAACAACAACAACCATGAGTTTGATATGTGATTACTGCAGGGAGACGTCGGATATGGAGGATACAGGCCTAACTAATGCAACGTTTAGGAAGTTACTAACTGCCGTAAAGCATGATGGCTGTTGCTGGTATTGCTCTGGCTGCATAGTCAAGGTGAATGAAGCGATTGCAATCCATAAGGGAACGAGTTCTCTAGGGACGAAAATAGATGAAGCAGGAGCCCTGCTGGTTGACAAACTGGAGCAAGTTGGAAAAGAGATCCTTGCTAAGACTGAGGAAGTAGCTAATAGAATGGAGGTGGTTGCTAAGAGGAGTTATGCTGACGTATTAGGAGGGCCACGGGGGGGGGCGGAGAGTAATGCAGAATCAGTACAGGTTCTACAGCAGATTGGGACTTTGAAAAAGTGTGTCGAAGAAATGAAAATTAACGCACCTACTGTTAGGGGAGAGGAGGAACACCAGGAACGGATCCAGCGCAGGAACAATGTAATAGTTTTTGGAGTCCCAGAGAGCCAGGCAGAGGGAACTGTGAGTAAGGAAACACACGACAAGGTGCTGTTTCAAAATATTTGCACAGAGGTTCTGAAGATTCCAGCAACCCCTCAGGATGTGAGGAGGCTGGGACAAAAGCAGGGGGCTAAGCCTCGCCCCCTCAGGATCACTCTAGGGAGTGAGGAGGAGAAATGGCAAGTTATTCGGCAGGCAAAAAACTTAGCAAGGAGCGAGGCATTTCGGGATATATTTATTCACCCAGACCGCACGGTAATGCAGAGGGAACAGCACAAGAAGCTCCTGCAGGACTTGAAGCAGAAGAGGGAGGAGTCGAGGAGGAACGGGGACAGGTGCACATGGGTTATACTCAGGGGGAGGGTAGTGGAAACAAGTGTGCCGACACAGGGCCAGGGGGCAGCAGTGCACCCTCCACCCACTCAACCCCCCACCCGGTAGGCGGCACCAGCTCAGCCTACCGGACAGGAGGGAACGAGCGCCGTGTAAACAATGACATTTTTAACCACACCCTGCAAAATACAGTGTACTTAGCAAATGCTGCAGCTTCTGAGAATGTGGGTGGAGCGGGTTTATTACTAAGAGCAGAGACGTTACCGAGAACAAATTCTGGCTTGAATGTCATTTACACTAATACTGACACGTTCCTTGATAAGAGAGAGGAGTTTGAAACACTACTAAGAGTACACCAACCAGATATTGTAGGAGTTGTAGAACTGTTGTACAAGAACAGGAGAATCGACCCAGAGGAATGTGAGTTCAGCATTGCTGGATATGACTCATTTACGAACCTAACTCAAGAATCCTGCAGGAGGGGTGTGGTTATCTACGCTAGGCAAGACCTTAGAGCCAGCCAGGCGAGGGTACAGGGAGAGGATGTTTTTGAAGAGTCCAAGTGGTGTAAAATTAAACTAAAAGGAAGGGACTTACTTATCGTCGGGTGTATCTACAGATCCCCAAACTGTGGCCCACTAAATCAAAGGAACTTAAGAACCTTAATAAACAATGCGGCGATGCTCAACCCCAGCCACCTCCTTATCATGGGGGACTTTAACTATGACGACATCGACTGGAGAAACGAGTCCACCCCGAATGACTTGAATAATCCTGCTACTCTTTTTGTAGAAACTCTGAGAGATAATTTTCTGTTCCAACATGTGAGAGACCCGACACATTACAGAGGGGAGCAAACACCCAAGCCACTTGACCTCATCATAACAAACGAGGAGGGTATGGTGGCCAAACTGGAACACCTTGGCCCAGTTGGCACCAGTCACCATACAGTGTTGTCATTCACATTTAACTGTTACCTAGTTCAAGATAAGGCCAGGCCAAGGTGCAAATATTACAAGGGAAATTACAATGGGATGAGGGAAGAGATGAGGGGTATCAACTGGCCTGACTTATTAAGGTACAAGAACGCAGACACTACGCTGAATATCATAACTAGTAAAATGACTCATTTGATCGATAAATATATACCCAAGACCAAACCCAGTGCTTCTAGGAATACGAGGGGATCCCTACACATGAACCATGCGGCGGTCGACAAAATTAAGAAGAAAAACCAGAAATTCAAGACGTGGGTTGGGTCAAACGATGAGCAAGACAGGAGGATGTATGCAAGAGCCAGAAACCAAGCAAAGATAGAGTGTAGGAGGGCTGAAAAGGAGTTCCAGAGGCTGGTTGCACGCGAGGTCAAGTCAAACCCAAAGGCGTTTTACCGCTATGCAAAGTCGAAATTGAAAACGCGAGTAGGAGTATCAGACCTGAGGCTTGAAGATGGTAGTTACGCAGATTCTGACCAGGATAAAGCTGAGGCATTGAACAGCTTCTTTTCCTCAGCGTTCACAAGAGAGGATGCAACTAACCTTCCTGCGTTTGAGGACAGACAGTTCGACACAGCACTGACCCACATTGTGTTCACAGAAGAGGGTATTAGAAATAAACTGTCCAGGCTAAAGGTCCATAAGAGTCCCGGACCTGACATGGTGCATCCTAGAGTGCTAAGAGAGCTGTGCAACGAGCTTGCAGAGCCCCTGAAGATTCTGTTTTGTAAATGCCTGGATGAACAAATGGTCCCCAGTGAATGGAAAGTGGCTTATGTGAGTCCTATCTTCAAGAAGGGCGATAGTCACTCCACGAACAACTATAGACCGGTGAGCCTGACCAGCATAATATGTAAAGTACTTGAGAGAATTATCAGAGATGCCGCGATGGAATATCTACTACGAAACAACCTTGTAAAAGATTGCCAACACGGTTTTATGCCGGGGCGCTCTTGCTTGACACAATTGCTCAAGGTATTGGATATTTGGACCCATATTCTAGAACGGGGTGGTAATATCGACAATATTTACCTAGATTTTGCCAAGGCTTTCGACAGTGTACCCCACGAAAGGCTGAAAATCACACTGGAAGGTACGGAATTCGGGGAAATGTCCTAGCGTGGATAGAAGACTTTCTACATGACCGCAAGCAATGTGTGGTGATTAATGGCACGAAATCGTCATCTGTACCTGTAACAAGTGGGGTACCGCAGGGTAGTATATTGGGCGCTATTTGTTTGTTTGTTTGTTTGTTTCATAAATGACACCTGACGTTGTACCTCCTCCAACACAAATGTTTGCCGATGATGGCAAGTTATTTCGGGAAATTAAGAACAAGCGGACTGTGAAGAGCTGCAGAGGACCTCTGGGCTCCAGGAATGGTCGAAGAAGTAGCTGCTGAGATTCAATGTCTGGTGTAGAGGATGCACCTGGGGCGTACCAACGGTAAGGAGGCGTATCATATGTCCCAACAGGATGAAGAAAATGCACTAGTTGAGACTGTGTGTGAGAGGACCTAGGTGTGTATGTTGACAATGAGCTGAAGTTCTCAGGCCATTGTGAAGAAGGAATGAAATCAGGCAAAATAAATTATTGGGTCTTATAAGACGGTCCGTCCCTCGTGACGATCTTCAAAATGAAGTGCTTCCCCATGCAGGTACTGTCACCCCATCTGGTCCCCGAGATATGCTGAGGACTGTCAGTTGGTTGAAAATGTTCAAAGGAGGGCCACCAAACTGGTGCCTGCACTTCGGCACCTCAGCTATCCTGAGATTGGAGCGCCCACAAGACTTGCCTGGCTTATACAGACGGGCAGGGGGACTAGTTGAGGTGTAAAAGCATCTCGGGGGCACTACTCAGTTAGGTGTCGCTTACTTGGAGCTGGCGGACACTCGCCCCCTGAGGAGTCACAGCTCAAGATTAAGGAAGAAGCCATAGGTCAGAAAACCGTGAGGGCAAACTTTTTCGGAGTGAAGTTGTAAACTCTTATGGAACAATCTACCAGAGAGTGTTGTGACAGCACCGAGTGTGAGCTCTTTCAAGAAAGACTTGACCAACACTGGAGCAGGTTCAGGTATTCAGGAGCCGGTGCATGCCCAGTATTTGCCAACAGTGCTGCGTGACAGAGACGTGACCGATCGCCCGGGCGGCTAACGAGCCGATCTTTTGGTGAGAATATAAATGAAAAGAGACGTGACCGATCGCCCAAGCGGCTAACAAGCCGATCAGTGGCGAAGAGGATAAAAGTAAAAGTAAAAATATGACACCTCCCCAGACACCCGCCCTCCTGGTTGGTTGGTTGTTTGGGCATTAGGCCTATCAACTGCCAGGTTTATTAAGGCCGTCAACGTCAAGCTACATCCACCAACCTTAACTTCTTCAATTGTTAAGGATAATTGTAAGACCACATACACTCTCACTACTTATGTGGCCCTTGGCTTGCATCCTCTTACCTTACCCAGGTCCGCCACCTCTAGCTCTCCCACCCTCTTGTGACCCGTCGTGTAGAAAGGCCTTGAGCTAGCGGATGCGGTAGTAGGAGGGGGTGAATGATTTCTTATGTCTGTGACTGTACTGTACTTGCACTAGCGTAGCTGGGGGGGTGGGGGGGTGGGGGGGGCGGTCCGCCCTGGGCGGCACTTTTGGGTCTGCTCATCACCCATATCTGCAGCTACTGGAAACGTTAATCCATCCCTTTGTATCGGCGGCAAGTTAATCCTTGTCGTGTCTGACCTAACACCTGACCCACATCATCACGGCCACGTCATGAGCTACACCCTTGCTATGCGCCCCCCCCTCCCCCCGCCACACACACAACCTGTAGCCTGTTGAGGATTAAGGAAACAACTTCAAACAAGTACGCCAGTGAGCTCATGTGGTGTGGGTCAGGTGTTAGGTCAGACACGACGAGGATTAACTTGCCGCCGATACAAAGGGAAGGATTAACGTCTCCAGTAGCTGCAAAACCATGCAGTCTCGGGTCATATCAGTTCATGTACAGCCGACCAATCCACCAGTTACAAGCAATTCACTTCAGTTCTGCACAAGTCTCCATCGTGACAAGACGAGGGGAGGCTAGACGACTTTTAAGTTCTCTTGTGTTTTCGATCCAGTTATTTACTTCGTTGGAAGACATAAGACTATAAGGTAAGAAATATTAAAGTATTGGTTAAAAAATATTGATGTGACTTTTGCTGCGGTACTGAGATTAAATATTAAGATTTTGTTTCACAGCATTGCGATTTTATACTAAGACACTATCCTCACTGGGGTACAGACGAAAGCCCCCCGACAAAAGCCACCCAGACAAAAGCCCCCCAGACGAAAGCCACCCAGACAAAAGCCCCCTACTTTGATCGGGGTGGCTTTTGTCTGACAACAGTAAGGGCTTTCAAAAGTTTCGGACATAATTAAATAGTTGAGGGTAAAATATACTGTTCTTCTCTGTGGTTAATTATTGGTTAGGTTAGGGTTAGGTTAAGTTAGGTTAGGTTGGGTTAGGTTAGGTTAGGGTTAGGGTTGTCAGACAAAAGCCACCCCGATCAAAGTAGGGGGCTTTTGTCTGGGGGGCTTTTGTCTGGGGGGCTTTTGTCTGGGTGGCTTTCGTCGGGGGGGGGCTTATGTCAGACATCCATTTTCACTGTACTCTGAGTCTGTAATTTTAGATTAAGTTGCTACTTTTTAGTGAGTAATGGAATAAACTATGCCAAAGAAATTTGCAATGATCTGGGGATAGTCATGGAGCGTCAGCATCGACCCAAAAAGAAGAAACAAATGTTTGGTGAAGGATCACGAGATGCTGAATTGTCATACGACATTGAATTGAGGAGAGAAATGTTTTCTTCGCTGGACAGAGTGATCCAAGAAATAACTTTGAGATTTCAACAGCTTCATGAACTTGCTGAGAAATATGCCTTCCTTACCCCATTGAATCTTTTGGATAATAAATATGAGTGTCAAATAGATCACGATCACGACGACATTGATAAAGAGGAGTTCCTCGTTGAGAGAAAAAGACTTCAGCATTTTGTTGCTGTTGCTGCTATAACTATTACAGACAGAATACAGACGTGGAAAGAAGGCCCCCTTGAACTTTTGCAGTTTATTCAAAAGTATAACCTTGGGAACTCGGTTCCAAATATAGTAATAATGCTGAGGATTTTCCTCACAATTGCTGTTAGTGTTGCTACCTGTGAGAGGAGTTTTTCGAAACTAAAACTGATCAAGAATTACTTAAGATCTACTATGAGCACCTTGCGGTTGAGAAATCTTGCCATACTGTCTATAGAGCGACAATTGACAGATGAAATAGTTTTTGACAATGTCATTGAAGAATTTGCCAACAAAAAACAAGAAAAGTTACTTTGTAGAAAGTTGTAGTTTTCATTTCAGAAATAAAGATGGTCCTAATTTTTTACACTTTTTTACTTTTTTCCCTATCCTATATGTCGTTTTTGCTTTTTGTTTAACTGTTACTTATAAAGTTTAAGTATGTTTGGTGTGTATTTAAAGCATACTATATTTGAGTATGTGAAAGTACAGTAATATTATAATGGTACACAAACTATTTAATATATATATATATATATATATATATATATATATATATATATATATATATATATATATATATATATATATATATATATATATATATATATATATATATATATATATATATAAGAGTGAGTCACTGTGCAATATGTATTTTTTGGGGACCGAGGGGGGCGGCAAACTCAAGGGCCGCCCCGGGCGGCACACACTCTAGCTACGCCACTGTGTACTTGCATACAGGGGGCCACCCAAGTTCGCGGATTTTTATATCGCAGTCCTCTTTTATTCGTGGATGACACCCTGGATGTACCCAAGAATGTCTTTGGGTAGTTTTAAAGTTGCTGGCATTTTTGCGGCTGGGACAGAGAGCCATTTGTTCTAGAGACAGTAATCTCCTTTACCTGTATTATAAATACAGTATGTGTGTGTGTAGACACACATACACACACACAAAACACATACAAATAAATAATAATTGGAAAATATTCTCACAAATAATCAGAAAAAAAATTATTTGAAAAATGTAAGTCTATCCTCAAGTCCGTGCTTTATTACTTTATTAAGAGAGCACGGACTTGAGGGTAGACTCACAATTTTAATAAATTTGCTTCTGATTATTTGTGAGAGTATTTTCCCATTATTATTTATTTGTATGTGTTTTGTGTGTGTGTGTGTGTGTGTCTACACACACACACATGTACAATACGTACAGGTAAAAGAAATAATTGTTCTAAGAGCAAACATATAAAGAGAATACTGTATACATTTCTTTGTACACAAGTAAAAAAATGTACACCCCCCCCCCCCCCCACGGTCTGCAAATGTTATTCGCGGCCATTTTGAGAACCTACCACCCCACCTGCGAATTTGGGGGGCCCCATGTATATGCATCTGTGCTTAAGTATGTGTTTTGTTTATATGGGTAAGTAGTTATGTATGCTTATTTGTTGATGTTTACTTGATCATTTTTTTGTATTTGAAAGCCATTCTGCTTATTACAATTTTCTTTGGATAAATCAGACAGTTTCTGTTTCCTGCAATTCATTTTATATCTCAAGTGCACAAGCACAATTATACAGTATCTGGTTCTTGTGATGATATGACTTAACTGAAGTTTATTTCTTATATTTTTGGTCTACCTTGTGTCTCATCAGTCCTCACTTATACTAAGAAGACCAAGGAGTGTTACAATGGTTTTATCTTCCCACAGCAACATGGGTTCCTACAGTCCAAGCCATGTGTACAGAGCAAAAGACGTGAGTGCGGTGGTCGAGTACGCCAGGTTGAGAGGCATCCGTGTTCTGCCTGAATTTGATACTCCAGGTCAGCTGAAGGAAATTGTCAACGTTATGGGTGTACAGTACTTGTGTTTAACGCTTGATGAGGCTCATTTCTGGGATGTGTTTACCCAAGATATTTGCTCTTTATCATTTGTTAGCACTTAATACATTTTATTTTATATGGTGCTGAACAATAGTTATCTGTTTACATTTTATTGAAGTTTCTCCCAATGTTTCACTCCTTTTGCAGGTCACACAGAGTCCTGGGGTCCTGGTCAGCCTGGTCTTCTCACTCCATGCTATAAGTAAGTCCAGAAAAAGTGGTCTGTTAGTATAGGGCACCAGGGTTTTTATCATTACAGCAGAGGAATTTGAGGGAAATACTGTGCAGTTGAGACATTGATGGGTCTACACTCTCCATAAAGGCATGATGCATATGGTGTGTGCTGTTGAACATTGTAACTTTTTGTGAGTATATAATAGTGACTGATAATTACCTCTATAACAAGATTAGATAAATTGGTTCTATGCTTCCTAGTAGAATGGAGTAGTATGGATACAACTCATCAGCTTCATAATAGCCATAAAATGATGAAGATAATGATGATTAGTCTCCTTTCTTTATTTACCTCTCTTTCTCTCTTTCCTTATTTCTTCTCTTTTTCTTATTTTTCCCTCTTCTTCTCCTCTATATTCCTATATTTCTCCCTTACCTCACCCCTGCCTTGGTCTGTCAGTGTGTCATTTTGTTTTTGTTTATCATTTTACCTCTTCTCAGCTTACTTTAACCTTTTGATCAGTTGGTCTATTCTCTGTTACTTTGTAAAGACCTTTATTATCCATTGTTAGTAGCTGCAGGAGGATACTGGAGTGCCTGGAGGAAACCTGTGATGGTTGGTAGGGTTACACTCTTCTCACATCTGTTGCAGTCTGGGGAATGAACTCAGGACACTGTAGTGAGAGATATATGTGCTACCATTGTCCCAATATGTATAACAAAAAGTAATATGGAAGGTATTGTCTTTACGGCTTGATGCCTTCCGCCAGGTGGCTTTTGTAATACACACTGAAGCCTGGCAGGTGTGTCCCCAAGCATTAGTGGCTTGATGGTATCCTCTAAAGTCTATCCTTGGAACAATCTAATAGTTAATCCTACCACCATATCCTAATCACCCTTAAAAAGGTTTTGCTAACTAGGTATTTTGTTCCTGGTGTGAGCTAAACTAGGATGTCAGGAGAGTTTTATTGAAGTTATTGGTTGGGACCTCACCACACAAACCACCATTGGGAGCCAGTAGGTCAGCATATACAGTACCGATACAGTAATGCCCTCTATTAGCTGATACTACTGTATTTGGCTATGATCTTCCCTTATAGTCCTGACAGTTCTGTTTTGGCCTGAAGTGATTAAGCTTTGTCAATTTAGGGTGGTAATAGGAAAGGTATCCAGTCAATTAAACTTGCTGCAAATTTGCCTGATGGCAATTGGGACTTCATGTATTCAGGTAATTATGTCTAACCTACACAAGTGTGGAAAATGGTGGTGAACCAGTGAAGATGAGCTTAACGTGAGCAAACACTGTGTTAATAAGACCTTCGGCCCTTTGGGCCAACCATTGTATCATGTTCCCTTTTGACTCTGATGATACTGGGGGAAGGGAAGGGTAATGCAGGTGGACATTTGGGGGGGCCTTATCCGTAGAATAAGAATTCCTCTAGTTAGGTACTTCAGTACTGTATGTCTAATAAGAGTTGCCTAGCTTCAGGCTCTACCATGGAATGAGATTTCAGGATTAATCCTCCATTTATGGCCAAGCATGCAACCTGGCAACTAGGATGCCCTCCACCCTCCTAGGGATTGTTGAAAGTACAGTATGGTAATTTATCATTTCCACCACTTTATCAGGTTACTAACCTTTCAGGCAGTTAGTCTCTTCTTTGTTACAACCTTTATTATCCAGTGTTAATACTGAAGGAAACTAAAGAAAACATGCAATGTTTGGTAGGGTCACACTGGATATTACCCTTCTCATATCTGACCTAGATTGAGGTTTAACCCAGGACATAATAGTGAGAAGCATATGTAGTACAGGTTGTACCTCTCTAGTCCGGCAACCTTGGGACCTGACCGGTGCCGGACCATGGAAATTGCTGGACCATGGAAATTCACCCTTTTCCTGGATAGATAGTGACTTGTGCTTATGCTTGGAAGCACTAGCACCACTTTCCCTGCATCATGGTTTCTTGAAGACATATTGAAGGGTTAAATGTCGTGTAGTAGCTTCTCAAATTTCGCGAGTTTTTAATTCAACGTATTTTATTGGAACACACACACAAAAAAAAGTAAATAAAAATTTTGACTGCGGAAACTTGAATTTCGACGGGTTTGAACGGCCCGCCAACGTGCAGACGACGTGCATAATCGTGTAAACAGCGTCATTTCTCTTATGTACAAAAGATTCATTATTGTTTATAACTGAATGTCTTTTTTATTGAATTAATGTTTATGTGTGCAAAATGAGCAATACAATTCATTAATAATACGTAGAATATTAAAACACACAAGGAAATGACACAGCATTGTTTTTGTTGATTACAAAACCAGTGACTGACTGGTTCTACATATAAAACTGAAGAAAATAAGACCTTGGTTGTAGCTGTAGTAAAATTAATATGGTTGTTTTAAGTAATGTTATTTATTGTTAATAAATGGAACAATAGAAGTAGCTAACGATAATGGTAAAGAAAAAAGAGAGATCGCCTATGTAAGTGCGCACACGTGAAAACATATCGTCATTACTTTACATAAGAATATGAAAGCAACACTTATTTACTGTTCATATATATTTTAATTAATGTTTCTGAATTTGTTTTTCTTGAATTAATGTTTGTGTGCAAAATTAACAATACAATTTATTAATAATACGTGGACTATTAAAACACACGAGGAGACGAGACGGCTGCCGGCATTGTTTATGTTAAAGCTTACAAAACCAGTGACTGATTGGTTCTACATATAAAACTGAAGAAAATAAGACCCTGATTGTAGCCGTAGTAAAATTAATGTAAAAAAAATAATATGGTTGTTTGAAGTACCTGCAATGTTATTTAATGTTAATAAATGGAACAGTATAAGTAGCTAACCATTAATGGTAAAAAAAAAGTGAGACTGCGCGTATGTAAGTGTGCACATGTGAAAACATATCGTCATTACTCTACATAAGAATATGAAAGCAACACTTATTTACTGCTCATATATATTGAAGGGTTAAATATTGTACTCTGTATAGACAAGCAGAGAGAGAGAGAGAGAGAGAGAGAGAGAGAGAGCAGCTGAACTGCCTGATGTAAACAAACCTTAATTTCCCGCGGCTTTGTTTTTTTTTTTTATGGGGATTAGCTCACCCGGGCATAGGTCACTGACCTACATTGGGGCCTGAGGGGCAAAAATTTAATACTCCTGTAATAATAATAATTCAGATAAAAAACAAAACAAAAAAGCTACCTATCTACCTATTGGACAAACTAAAATCGTTCCGGACCACAGGAGTTTCCGGACCACAGAATGCCGGACTAGAGAGGTACAACCTGTACCACTCTATTACACAACACTGCTAAGCTGTGATGTCACAGCTTGCTAGCCTTGTCCTTCTGATGGGAAACTTTCAATAGTTTTCACATTTTATGAGTGACAGTTGTGATGGGAAATTCAGAATAGTCTTTGGATTGTTTCAGAGGATACGAGCCAACCACTAATGCAAAGAGTCTCCTTGGTCTAAAAACTGCTAGGCACAGTGTGTGTGATTTTGAAGCTGCCTGTCTGCAGGCTCAGCTGTAAGATGGGATTTCAAGATAAATTCTCTATTTTTATCAATCAACTCCATCATTATTTCTTCTTCTTCAGGGGATCATCACCAGATGGTACTTTTGGTCCAATTGACCCAAGCAAAGACAACAATTATGACTTCCTCCAGACTCTCTTCACCGAGGTTACCGGGCGCTTTCCTGACCATTACATCCACCTGGGTGGTGATGAAGTCAACTTCTCCTGTTGGTGAGTTAGTTTGTGCTTGTTTAGCCACATATAAATGACTGCAACCCTCATTCTTACAAATTCTTATTTTATTTTGTATCCAGTAGTTTAGGTGGAGGGAATGTTTACAGTAAGAGTAGAGTCTGAGAAACTCAATATTAACACCATTTAGGCCACCTGTATTTTTGCTTGCCTGCTCTATGGTGAGTGTCAATTATGGCTTCGTCCTTTTGTGTTTGTGTGTGTGTGCATTTTCTCAGAAACCTTTGCTTGCATATTGGTGATTAAAATGCTTGTGATTCTTGTGTGGACTCACTGGCCAGTATGGCTACTATAGTATCCATCTTGGAGTTTTTGAGTGCTGATATGAGGGCTTGAGCTGCCACCATTTATGAGGGCTGCTACTGCCACCATTCATGAGGGCCTGTGTGCCAGTAACAATTCCTGTTACTCTTATATATCACCATTGGTAGCGTGACGATAGGAGGCTCGTGGGTAGGTGTAATGATAGTATCAAGCAATAGGGAAGAGATAACGGTAAATACTGTAGGTAAATAATAGACACAATTATACAAATACAAAGTTTATTTAAACATGAATATGAAATTAGAAGAAAGAATTATATTGTACTAACAGACGAAATCTAGTACTAGGTCCTCAGGCTCCACATACTCACACCATTACTGGGTGGACATATTCAATACCCTTCCAACCCTACTGGGTGGACATACTCAATAGCACAACTAGGATAGTCACTTAGCACCATACATATTAGAGCAACTGCCACTACAACACTCAGTCGTCAGGAGTGATACTCAAGCAACAGCCATGGGGTCCAGCCACCATGGAGTACTATCCGACGAACTCTGGAGATCCCAGTGGGTTAATTCCACCACACAAATATAGCCCTACTGAGGTAGACACTCATCCACCAATGATGGGGGCTGGTAGTGGTGTGTGGCTTGGTGGTCCGGGTCACCTCGTGGACCGAGCGTTAGGGCCAGACGAGCCAGCTATGGGGGCTATAGGTGGTCTGAAGTGTCTGACGGCCGGGTCTCACGAAGGTAACTGATCCTACTGGACCTCGGACATGTCCCCAGACATAGTGGATACAACATCCACCCTACAGACACGGCCTAGGCTGCGTTAGGGACCTGTATGGATGAAGGGACGGGCACTTACTAACGGTGACAACAACAACACGTTTCAGGGGACGTTAAAGACGTAAATATGACTTTACTCAGAGCATATCAACTACGTTACTGTAACACTTGCACAATCAACTATCAATTGGGTCAAATCACTTAAAGAAGGGCAAATTACAACCCAGCGTGGAATGGCATACCTGTATGGATGAAGGGACGGGCACTTACTAACGGTTAAAATGCCCGCGGCGCCCTCACTCAAACTAGGCCAGGGAGTCCAGCTACTCCTATTCCAATGAATTAATTTACGGTACCCTCTGACGTTGAAATTGAGACTATGAACTCATTTTCATTCTCTACTATTATCTTCACTAACAATGCTCTGACTCAGCTATCGAAAGCAGAATTAAATTGATTACAAAGGAATGGATGGCAACAGGTCCCAGCATACAGCGTCTGCTCCCATAGACAAAGGCGGGGGAAACAGAGAAAACGGGGGACGTTTCCACTGGGGGACTCGGAAGGTTTTGTGGACGTTTGAGCGTAATATGAATCCTTAAGGTTTTCAGGTTAGCTCTTATCATGACCATTACAAAGCTTCCTCCTTCCCCAAGATTCATCATTATGCGGTAACGTTCAGAAAACACGTAAGTAGTGACATACATATTAAATCATTAATATAAAGTATAAATCCTCATACAAAACATTGCACAAATTATATCAATAAAAATAGAAAAATAATTCCCTACCGGTGGTCAGGATTAGGTACAAGAAATGGAAATCTGTTAACATACAATTAGAATGTGACACACCTTCATAAAAAATATATTGGGATACATATTACAAAATAGCACCAAAAATAATAGCACATGGGGTTAGGTACATCATGTCATAATAATACTGAATGGCGGTAAATACATCATATCATATAATAATAAATGGTGTTACATACATCATATCATATAATAATAAATGGGGTCAAGTACATCATCATAGAATAATAATGATTTGAGTTAGATACCTCATATCCAATAATAATAATAATAAATGGTGTTACATGTTACAAAATACACCCTCACATCGGTAGATAAAATGCACACTCAAAATTTCTTACAGAACTCAAATTTCAATGTTCATAGATTATGAAAGTTTCTTTTACGCGATTGGTCAAATGCTGACAGGACACACTGAGATTTAACACAGATTTCTCAAGCTAGGACATAGACGAACGGACCCCATCAAGTCAAAGGAATGATTTGTTGCCCTTAATCTTAAGAGTTATGTCGCACTCGCGAGAGGCAGCACCCTTCAAGGGACTCCGAACGAGCGGGTATTCCCAAGAATTCAATGCTAACGAAACGGTCCTCATGAGAACACCACCAAACCAAAAACTGTCTGTACTTATGGCATTTGCCATGTAGAAGTAATAGCACCATATTTATATGCCCGAATACTCCCTGAAAGTCACGAACTCTACACCTATATACCAACAACACCCAGCCTACGTAGGACTTACCAACCAGAACTTGAGAATTCACCACTGGTATCTTTACTCATACTAGTAACAGATACCCTTCAGATGATTGCATAACTGCCAATACATCTTCCAATCTCTGTCTTTACTGCAAATTGACCCTTCCTCTGCAAAATACTTTTAACCCCCCAAAAAAAAAATCCTCCATTTTTTGTTTTCTTCTTCAATTACCAAAAGTTACCTACAACAGATTGTGCACTTCACTACCCATCAACAACCAAGGAGGTTCACTTACAAAGCCCACTGTTTCTTAAAGATCCAGTCTAACCACTGGTTTTCTCCTCCTTTACCCATGGCTTTAGCGAGTTTAGCCAGAAGAGCTTGGGCTTCTGTTGCTAGTTCAACAGCGGCTTTGGCCATCATGGTCCCCTTATTTGCGTTAGCATCTGCCATTGTGTTACAACAAATCAATACTACAGGTATATCCCACTGTAAATACAATACATGCACAGTGCTCACTCAAGACCCAAGGACTGGTACTGATTTTCTGCAATACGACTAACACTCCATGCATCAACTATTCAAACTACTGTTCAGATTATTAATCTCCCCAAAGATACTATTATGGCATCAAAAATTCACTTAGACACTTTGCCATTCACAGACTCAGTATGGTGCAACACTGCGTGAACACTTCACGAATTTCCGTACTCACAATTCTGGGTCCATACACTTGTATAACATTTTCCATATACCGTATCACCATAAGGTCCTCACATATATAATACTGTATTCTGAAAGTATACTGGCATTAGAGTTCACATAACATACGTTACACAAAATAATGACCCGTTAGCACCTGGTTAAAATAACTTTAAAATTATAGCGTATACATAGGAATATTAATAGTAGGAACTGTAAAATGCCCCGAGATATTAAGTAAATGGAATATATATCCTACCTAACACATAACTAAAGAATATTACAAATGCAGAATTAGCATCCACTTAACCTTTGCATATAGTGCAATGCTTCTGTTAGCACTCAGAATTAAAACACTGGGCACTCCCACGATGGAACATTTCACAACTAGTGCCACGGCCCAAACATGTATTCACTGTCTGTAAGTAATACTGAGTTAACAACAGAAAAAAAAATTTGGGCAGATTGTTACATATCAAAATTCTTCCACTATTAATGAACCTTATTCACACTCTACAAGTTATTGTTGCAGGTTTCCTTTTACTTTAAACAAGACTTTTCTAACCTAACTCCAAGGTATTTCTTTGAACTTATTTCACTCTCTCTGCAAACCACCACAAAAAGCTGTACCTCGGAAAAATATGGAACAAAATTATTAGCAATCTGAAATACTCATTAGTTACAGTGGAATGGTTATTAAATACCCGTACAGAGAAATGGTTATCACTCAGTTAAAACTACAGTATCACAGTCATTCCTCCCAACTCGATACTATGTTCATTACATCACCATAGCTGCCACCATTTATGAGGGCTTGAGCTGCCACCATTTATGAGGGCTGCTACTGCCACCATTCATGAGGGCCTGTGTGCCAGTAACAATTCCTGTTACTCTTATATATCACCATTGGTAGCGTGACGATAGGAGGCTCGTGGGTAGGTGTAATGATAGTATCAAGCAATAGGGAAGAGATAACGGTAAATACTGTAGGTAAATAATAGACACAATTATACAAATACAAAGTTTATTTAAACATGAATATGAAATTAGAAGAAAGAATTATATTGTACTAACAGACGAAATCTAGTACTAGGTCCTCAGGCTCCACATACTCACACCATTACTGGGTGGACATATTCAATACCCTTCCAACCCTACTGGGTGGACATACTCAATAGCACAACTAGGATAGTCACTTAGCACCATACATATTAGAGCAACTGCCACTACAACACTCAGTCGTCAGGAGTGATACTCAAGCAACAGCCATGGGGTCCAGCCACCATGGAGTACTATCCGACGAACTCTGGAGATCCCAGTGGGTTAATTCCACCACACAAATATAGCCCTACTGAGGTAGACACTCATCCACCAATGATGGGGGCTGGTAGTGGTGTGTGGCTTGGTGGTCCGGGTCACCTCGTGGACCGAGCGTTAGGGCCAGACGAGCCAGCTATGGGGGCTATAGGTGGTCTGAAGTGTCTGACGGCCGGGTCTCACGAAGGTAACTGATCCTACTGGACCTCGGACATGTCCCCAGACATAGTGGATACAACATCCACCCTACAGACACGGCCTAGGCTGCGTTAGGGACCTGTATGGATGAAGGGACGGGCACTTACTAACGGTGACAACAACAACACGTTTCAGGGGACGTTGAAGACGTAAATATGACTTTACTCAGAGCATATCAACTACGTTACTGTAACACTTGCACAATCAACTATCAATTGGGTCAAATCACTTAAAGAAGGGCAAATTACAACCCAGCGTGGAATGGCATACCTGTATGGATGAAGGGACGGGCACTTACTAACGGTTAAAATGCCCGCGGCGCCCTCACTCAAACTAGGCCAGGGAGTCCAGCTACTCCTATTCCAATGAATTAATTTACGGTACCCTCTGACGTTGAAATTGAGACTATGAACTCATTTTCATTCTCTACTATTATCTTCACTAACAATGCTCTGACTCAGCTATCGAAAGCAGAATTAAATTGATTACAAAGGAATGGATGGCAACAGGTCCCAGCATACAGCGTCTGCTCCCATAGACAAAGGCGGGGGAAACAGAGAAAACGGGGGACGTTTCCACTGGGGGACTCGGAAGGTTTTGTGGACGTTTGAGCGTAATATGAATCCTTAAGGTTTTCAGGTTAGCTCTTATCATGACCATTACACTGAAGTTTAGGTTTTGGTTAAAATTTCATTTCAGTTCATATCTTGGGGACATTTTACTGCATTTGATTTCAGTGAAGCTTATTATATTCACACATTTGTTAAAATGCCTTGACCAACCCATTATATAATGAGTAAGGATTATGCATGCTGCAGAATCTGTTTGACTCTACATTGGATATACTGTACAGTAAATGCAAACCTTCTGAAAGCTCAAAAGCAGTTGATTTTCTTGAGACTTGAAGTTTTGTACATTTACCTGCTTTTTTACCTCATGGTAACCTCACCTAGAGGGGACCATGCTGGAGGAAGGAGGCCTGTGGCCTATGTTGGATCCCCCTATTGTCCTTGATAAGCTTGTCTAGGGTACTTTTGAAGCCTGGTACTGTTCATGCTTTCATAGTTTGTGCTGATAGACTGTTAGACTGTTTCACCTTTTGCCAGCTAACTAACAGGTCAAGTGGTTGATTATTTTGCTGTTGTGCTCTTTTATTAAATATATAATGTAATGAGCATGTACGGATCTTGAATTTGCCAAGATGTCTTTAACAGATTACAATATTACACAATAATGGTGACCAATGTGAGAAGGACGTGGGTGTGTATGTTGACAACGAACTGAAGTTTTTGGACCATTGTAAGAAGAAAGTAAATGAATTGACAAACCTAATGTGGGTCTTACAAGGTCGTTCAGATACCTAGACAGTCCTTCCCTTGTCATGCTCTTCAAAGGTGATGTGCTTCCCCCGTTTGGAGTACTGTCATATCGCTAGAGACTGTCAGTTGATTGAAAACCTTAAAAGGAGGGCCACCAGACTGGTGCCTGCACTATGGCATGTAATTTACCCTGAGAGATTAGAGCACCTGCAATTACCTACCTTTTGCTATAGGAGGGTAAAAGGTGACTTAATAGAAGTCTATAAACACCTCAGAGGACATTGCTCAGTCGAGTGCTCATATCTGGAGCTGGCGGATGCCTGCCCCACTAAAGGTCACATCTTAAGGTTGAAGAAGCCACAGGTTAAAAAAATTGCCAGGGCAAACTTTTTTGGGGGTAAGAGTTCTGAAATTTTGGAACAAACTTCCAGAGAGCATTGTGACGGCACCAAGTGTGAGCTCATTCAAGACCAGACTTAATTAACACTGGCGCATGTACAGATACATCCTAGAACCAGTACATGCCCAGTATTTACCAACAGTGCATAACAGAGATGTAACCGACTTCCGTAGTGGCAAAGAGGATAAAGGATAATAATGAAAATCACCTTTACTGATGGGACAGTCTGGTTCATGATTGAGTTATACTTTGGTGAAAAAGGTTATCTTGTTTGTGTCATTTCTGGTGTGAAAAGTAAAACTTAATATTGTACGCACAGTACTGTACCTCACAGGGGCAAACCAAGAAATTGGGTAGGGGGATTTCCAAATATTTGAGCTGGGTGAGGAGCTGACTTAGCAAGCTACAGATCACTAACGCTAGAGAAACAGTTCTGACTAGAGGGGTTCCGGCACATATTTAATTTGCACCAACATAAACTACTGTGCTGAATGTTTAACACATTTTTATCATTTAGCACCCTAATGTTAAAAGATCATAGAAAGGTCATAAAATTCGTGTAAAATATAGTTTTTGCACAAACATGAAATACTTATACTTTTCAGCAAGCATATTTGCAAATTTCATCTTCCAGGGATATCTTTGTATAAATGTGTCATTTGCTTGGTTTATGTCCACTGTTATATCTTGTTGCAGTCTCTCACTCACCATTATTGATCTGAATAGTGTTTTTATTCTTTTCAGTCCACTAAAAGATTTTTTTGCTGAGCATGTTGTTACTGGCAGGGTGCACAGGATAATGAGTATTGCCCTCACATTGGGGAACATGTAACCAAGGTGTTTGAGGGAGGGTGGTGGTCAATGTAGTTGGAAGGTTGGTGGGGAACTGGTCTTTGGCCTTTTTTTTTCCACCTGACACGCAAGGTGTGTACCTCACTCGTGATGCTGCAAGGGGATGGCAGGTCCTCCCGGCGGAGGTCAACCAGCTTTGGTATTCATCTGTTGCCCTCTGCTGGTGTTAGGGTTACCAAGATGGATGGGATGATGCTGAGTCCCTGGAAGGCCTTCTGGTGCAGGGTTGAATGTCATCTCCGGCTCTGCCAGGAGATGGTCTCGGAGTGGAATGGCCACTGTTCTCCTGTAGTAGTCAGCTGGTCCATCAGCTGATGTGTTTTCTCAGTGTTATTGGCATTTGCAGAGTTTGGGCATGAAAGATGTGACACTTACAGCCTCACACAGCTGTTCTGGTTGATGAAACCATTCAAAATAGTAATCATCCATGTTGTTTCGGATGTCACGTAATGCTGCTCTCACACAATTAACTTCACTGCTAGCCTCATCGATGTCCTTGGCCTCTGCTTGAAGGCTGGTGGTCACACCTTTCAGGTAGGATAGTGCATTATTGGTGATCATCAGGACACAGTGAAGTCTGTCCTGGTGATGGTGAGCAGCAGGGCCTGGGCATCAATCAGTAAGTCTGTGGACCAGTTGCCAGGACCAACCTCCACAATGTTCTCCATACAAGCCAACACCAAGGGATATAACTCCACAAAGGTTTTAGGGCGTCTAGCCATTGCGCCCAACAGGTATGGCATAAGTTTTTCAGCTCGTGTTTCCTTGATTCTGGTTGGGTCTCCAGGACAGCCACCTCAAAGGTATGTGCATGTTTGGGATGCTCTTCCATAAAAGAAACTTTTGAAATCCTGTCCTTGTTGCCCATCATGTTCCTGACACTGGTGATCTTGATGCACTTAACAACAGCCAGGTTGAGGGAATATGATGAGCAGTGCTGGTAGAGAGCCAAGGGTTTGGTCTTCTTAATGATAGCTGCTGCCCCCTTGGAGCTCCCAGCCATGTTGCCAGCACTGTCATAGGCCTCACCTCTTAAGATGTTGATGTCAAGTCCATACCCTGTGATGCTGGTTGTCATCTCTGCTAGATTTCTGCCAGTTACCACATTGTCTTCCTCCAAAAAAGTCCACCAGGTCCTCTCTGATTTGGTAATGCTGAGCTGCTGCTTGCAGGCAGAGTCAGTGACCTCATTAGCTGTGATGGGAGAAAACCTTCTGGAGAATATTGTCACAAATCTGTTCTCCACAAATGTGAATCAACTGGTTCTGGATATTCCAAGATTTGTACAGAGCATTCTTGGCAGTTGTGCTGAGGGACATGCCTCCATACTGAAGTCAGGAGGGTCAGAAAGTTGCCACGATTGGTATTGTTTTTGTGTCCTCGCAGATAAATGATCTGACGGCCACAGAAAATGATATTTTTGATGATGGATTCCAGTTTTAATGTGTTTTCATGCAGTCTAATAACCAGCGCATGATTCATCAAACTCTGAATGTCCTCACGTTTACCATTCGTTACATCTAGGAAGTCTGAGGGCTTGGTAGTTGCCAGTATGTGACTCTTGGATGTCATGGTGGGATAACTTGGTCTTGAACTTGGTGAAACGTTTCTGTACTCGACTGATGAGGTCTCCCTTGATACTCTGCCCAAACAGGAGACAGTTGACACAGTAGCCACCATTTTTTTGTCGACTGTAAACCAGCCAAGTGTACTGTCGAAGCCAGGCATGCTGGAACTTGGCCAGATTCCTCTCTTGGTGGGAAATTGTAGTCCACATCTGGCTTAAAACAGCTGGTAAGAAGTTGAAACTTCTTGTCTAGAGTAAGCTCCATGTGTCCCAATGGGGTTTCCAGGCAAACAGGAAATCCTACTGGGTGAGCCTCTACCTCATATTGTATTAGAATTGGTGCCCTGATATGATTTGTGAAACACCTTCAGTCATGCTAAATGGAAATGTTTTACAGGGATATAAACAATGATCTAAATGAGTTTTTACATATTATTTTTATAAATCTATTTTGGGATTTTATACCTTGAGATTAGTATGCATTATCTTACAGGATAGTAATACATCTAATTTGTGTATCATTGTAGTATGTAGCTACTGTATTATATTTTATCGTTTCATTGTACAGGACCAATACAGTGATAATCTTGAGTGAATCACATGGGGAGAAATTCTAATACTGTATACCTATTTGATCTAATCATGCATTAATGTATATTACTTATGTCTGTCACTATTGGTACACATTCTTTATTTTTAATAAATAATATGTGAGTGATTTTCCAGGAAAAGCAACCCGAACATTACAGACTTTATGGCGAAGATCAATATCACTGGTGACTACAGCAAGTTAGAGCAGGTCTACATCACCAAACTCGTGGACATAGTTTCCAACCTTCCTACCAAGAATGGGTTAGTTTTGAATACAATTTCTACTCATGAATAAGTTTCTTACTGGGGTATTATTTGGGTAAAGGCTCTGTGTCTATACAGTATATCCAGACTATATTCTGATAACACAAATTAAACCTGATTGGAAAGAGTGAGTGTAGTGTTTTTACAGCATATATTTGGTGGCCTATAAATAGATATGACATCTTGATCTACCCATTGTTTGTCCACTTGGCTTGAGGTTGGGTGAGCATAAAGTCTTTCCCTGATTACAAACATTTATTACACAAAACATATGCTAGGTACAAACATACAGTTTTTTGCAGCTTAAAACATGCATGAAAAAAAAAATCTATGAATTCGTCTACACAATGCTACAACATTCATGTTTCTCTCTAGAATGGTCTTCGAGATATGATTTTTCATAATCAGGGAAAGACTTTATGTGCACCCTGTATTTCTATTACTTTAATATTTTGTTGGATATACCCATATTAGTACATATTTGTTTTTATACTTAATACTTACAAGTTTTTGATATGCTTTATTGTATGTTGCCCTTATTAGATTTCCTACAACCAGTATATTAACAGGTATTACTAGACCATAGAGTTTGTCATATATCTTATACAGTTAACCCTCACTTTACGCGGTTAATGTAACCCGGAGGGTCCCGCGTAAAGTGAGAAACGCGTAAAGTGAATAACATAACATATGGGATTAATTGAAATGGAGTCCGGGCCGATCCCCAAACTCCACTTTTTGACGACACACAACTATGTTGTAGTAAAAATATTATCTTAACTTTATGATGGTATGCACACACAATTAATAATTAAGAGAAATATCAATAATATTAGGTTTTTTAACACTTACATTAGTAGAAAAAATGGCTGGGCACACGGGGATGGGCGGTTGGTTCCGAGGCAGAGGGCAGATTATTGGCCCTCACCTGTGTCACTTGTATCAATTGTATCACTATCCACCACAGAGGCTTGCAGGGCCTCTTTGTCAAACTCCCCAAAGTCCATATAAGTCCATATCCTCACCATAATTATCACTATCACTGACTTGGGCCGGCTGTGGTGGGTGGCGGGTGAAGAACTGGTAATGTTTTGATGACTGGGCGACCTTGTGCGCACCATGTTCGCGCAGCTTACACAACATGGCGGATGGCGGGAGGTTTGGATCCAAAAATGGCGCGGCTCGCCAGCCGCTCTCCGCGTAAAGGGGTACACGCACCGCGGAATGTGAGCATCCTGGGTTCCGGCAGGGCACCGCGTAAACGTGGAAACGCGGAATGCGGGACCGCGTAAAGTGAGGGTTAACTGTATACTGTAACAGTGACGTCATTGCGGGTCATTCTGTGGACATAGATTGAAACAGGCTCAAACAGGCAGCAAGTGCAGTTATCAGTAGTTTCTAACGTTTATATAGTTTCAATCGGTTATAAATTCAGCTGTTCTATAAAGACCCATGTATGACCTAATGAAAGGAATATGTCCGAATTTCAGTCTTATATCCCATATCTCAGTTTTGACTTGATTGACAGTGATCTATTGAATGATGATGGTAGCGGTGTGACAGCCAGTCACACCGCTACTCAGCCCACATCATGGAAGGCCACTCACCATGCAGTGGCCTGTGTTGTGCCTAGCTGTAGTATGTAGTGATTGTAAGCACTCACCCACAATCTGTTATGCCACATGTTACATGTATGATTATCTAAAAGTCGATTATCAGGGCTTGTAAGATACAACTACACATAGAAATTGACAAGCACTAATATATTTGTAATTGATCATACACAGCAACTCATTCTCCAATATTATAGCTAATTATTGTTCATAGGCATCATAGCAGGTGGCAAGATGTTTAGTGAATTGTCATCGTGAGTCATCCCTGAAAGCATCCTATTTTATTAGAAGAAACATATCATTGTAGCTGGACAATTGCCTTTAAAACTGCACATTTCGATACAAACTTGCCCAATTCATTTATAACTGTGCTTTAAACCAATCCATGCCAATGAGCATACTGTATGTAATATTGTCTCACATCCATTATATCCATTATCTTCTCTCATCAATTATGTTAAGTTCCTAAATTCCACACTACAGTATTAGGTTGCTCTTTTGTTATATGCCAGGGTATAATAGCCATCATAATCAGAGGGTAATCCAAATACACATATATGATTTACATTTATACCTAATCTTCGTAATAAGTCCACCCACCCTTCATCTTGATCACCGCTCGCAGTCTGTCGGGCATAGAGGCGACGAGGTCCTGGATGAGCTGCGGTTGGTCGCGGAACAGTTCCCACGGGCATAGGTGTGGGCCACTAGTTCAGCTGGTGTCTGCTCCAATTCTGGCTCCCAACATTTCACCATATTCTCTCACTTAGCTAATTCTATCTGTTGTCTGGTCATGTTGTAGTGGATAGGAGGAATACCCAAGCTAACATCAAGGTGGATACAACACATTGATCTACCCATGATTGGCTAACTTGAAACTTTTTGCTGATTTGCGATTGGCTGCCGATACACTCATTTCATCATCATTCAGTACAGTGTATATCATTTTATCATTATCATTGATCTTGTCCAAACTGCTGTACGACATATATAGACTTACATTTGTCCATTCACATTTTATTGGGTCTTAATTGGGGCTTCAAAGGACAGCAGACTTTTTAACTGACTCAAACTATATGAGCATTGTAAACTACTGACAACTGCACTTGCTGCCTGCTCGAACCAGTTTCAATCTTTGTCCACAGAATGACTCGCAGTGATATCACTGTTACATATATAAGATGTATGAAAAACTCTATGGTCTAGTAGTACCTGTTAATATACTGGTTGGAGGAAATCTGATGAGACAACACAGTAAAACCAATAATTTGTACCTCCTAATTTCTAAATCACTCATAATTCGTAATAATTTGCTGTTACTAAAAATATATTACAAATTTCATTATATTTTGTAAAATTTCAAAATATGAATCATTTCAAAATATTTTGATATGTACAGGGGGCCCCCCAAGTTTGCGGATTTTTATTTTGCGGTCCTCTATTATTCGCGGATGACACCCTGGATGTACCCAAGAATGTCTGCGGGTAGTTTTAAAGCTGCCGGCATTTTCGCGGCTGGGACAGGGAGCCATTCGTTCTAAGAGACAGTAATTTCCTTTGACTGTACTGTATTGTAAGTACAGTACAGTAATAATAATAAAAATAATAATAATAATAATAATAATAATAATAATAATAATAATAATAATAATAATAATAATAATAATAATAATAATAATAATAATAATAATAATAATAATAATAATAATAATAAACTGTTTATTAATTGAGTTGCAGCCGGTGGCTGAAAATATACAAACTTACATTTGATTTAGACATAATGATATGTGTTGAATACATTTACAGGGTTGTAGAGTGTGTGTAGACACGCACACACACAAAACACATATGAATAAATAACAATTGGAAAATCCTCTCAAATAATCAGAAACAAATTTATTAAAAATGTGAGTCTACCCTCAAGTCCGTGCTTTATTACTTTATTAATAAAGCACGAACTTGAGGGTTAAATTAATTTGTTTCATTTGTCACAAAAACGAATGTCACTATATTTGAATTTTACATGACCTCATGCCCCCACACAGGAAGCCACTGCTCAAAACCAATTCAGTCTTGGTCCCTCGGGTCCAAGATTAGAGGGTTTATACCTGTGTCACATTAGGACATTAAACTGTTTATCCTCACACAGGTACTTAGTGTGGCAGGAGGTGTTTGACAATGGAGTGGAAATTGCCAATGACACAATTGTACATGTGTGGAAATATGAAAATGTTCCAGTGGCTTGGAAGCATGAACTGAATCAGGTATGTGAGTGATTAATGAACAATAGATACTTTACTGTATAAATGTTGAGCTTTTATCAGGCTGTATCATCACTGTAGTTAATGATACAGCACTGAGTTGGCCAAGAGAATATTAAGCTGAACATTAAATTGTTTAATAAATTATATTAAAATACTGAGTCAAGTGGGAGTATACAGTGAGGTGCACATAGAAATACTGCACAGTATGAATACTGTTTTTGCTAGAAACCGAACCAATTCACCCACTCTGGAGCTGAAAGCAGTAATTTCTTTAATTGAGAATACTGAAGTAAATATGAAATCATGATTAGTAGTTCAGTAATCTACATACTATAAGAGATTATTAAACTAGATACAGTACTGCACTCTACAGCATTAACACTTTATTCAGTACTGTATACTGTTTACATAGGCTACACACTGATCAACTCATTCAGCTCACAAGTTCAATATCTATCCTTGCATGATAGGAGGAAATAAAGAACTGAATGTGATATGAATTAAACTTCTTTGGAAAATCAAAAGCCTCTTTAAATACAGTACCGAAAGAGATATGTACTTAACATTACTGTTTGAAAATGGTCAATAGTTTCTCTAAGTGATCTTTTTCATTAATAGTGATTGAAAAATACATAAGTGTAAACAATGAATTTACGGAGAGTGAAAGTAAACTACAATGTTGCATTTCAGGTGACATCTGCAGGATACAAGACAGTGTTGTCCTCATGTTGGTATCTCAATTACATCAGCTATGGGGTAGACTGGCACAAGTATTATGAGTGTGACCCCCAAGATTTTCATGGTAAGTTGTTTTGAAGGAAAAACCATGTGCCCATTAATGGTGATTTGTGGCATGATGATAGATTGATAGGCATTTTAGATAAATATTTATAAGGTTCTCCACCACAACCCAGCTTCACTTAAGTTATTAATATTGTCCCAATTACTGTTTTTATAGATCTTGTCCTTTTTCATCCTCTTCAGAGCTTCAGACCCCATATAGTGTGTTAAAAATTTCCTCTGAGACTTTATTTTGAGTACAGTATTGTTAAAAAAGTTTTAATGAAAGTTGAATTGGAAAGTCTCTACTTTTATTTTCTTTAATTATTAATTAATTAATAAACATTTTACATGTGATTTTCTCTGTTAATATAGTTTTTTATATTATTTGTTTTATTTAATGGTACTACTGTTTTACTCTTACTGTATACTGTATATTATTTAGTAATGATAAGAAGTATCTTTCCCTTACCTGTATCTTGGGGTCTGCACTTTTGTGCTGTACCAATCATGATAATGTTCATTTTTACCCACCAGGTACAGACAGCCAAAAGCAGCTGGTAATGGGTGGAGAGACATGCATGTGGGGAGAGTACGTGGATCGCACTAATCTAATATCTCGCACATGGCCTCGGGCATCTGTTGTTGCTGAGAAGCTGTGGAGTTCTTCTGAACATACCAACAGTACCAGTGAGGCTACACCTAGGCTTGAAGAGCACCGCTGTAGACTTCTTGCTAGGGGTTATGATGTTGAGCCTCTCTGGCCTTCTTTCTGTAGTGCTGATGTATATTAAATTTGAAAGATCAATCATCTTAAACCCATTTGTGATGTTAGATCTTTCTGTCCTGAAAGTATGGGCAGTATCCTGGAGCTACTACATAGAACTCTGGCTGTGCAGTAATTTGTCTAAGTCAGATTACACACTCCAAATATATGAACACTTGCTGCAACATCCATATTAATAACAGTGTCTTCTCACAAAAGGCATTACACTGTATTGGTAATTGGTTCTGTTACTAATACTGTAGTCCAAACCTATTAGTGTACTGCATATGAAGAATACTTCCTAGCCTAATATTTGATGCAAAATACTGAAGAACTTGTTATTTTGGCACATGAAAAAAATTTATAAAATTTTCTGTTGGTTTTAATATGTCATCTCCCTATACTGTACTGTATTGTGTTGTGGACTTTGGCACCATTGGTTGAGGGTCTATTTTTCACTTTTCGTACTATTTCTGTATTCTGATAAAAGCCTTATTTTTATTTTCATCCTTTTGCCAGTTATCAGTAATATATTAAGCAGGAGAAAACTTGGTTGTACAGTGATCCCTCGGTTAATGAGCGCCTCGGTTAACGAGATTTCGGTTAACGAATTACCTTCCATAAGATTCTTAACTTCGGTTAACGAGCATTCCCTCGGTTAACGAATTCCTTACGAGCGCCCCTCAACATGTTTTCGCTTGCACACTAGCTGTCGTATTAGTCCGCCAATACAGTAATCGGTTCTAGGGCTTAAATTCCTTACCATTTTAAATATCAAGAAGGTTGTACTATTCAATCATTTTAAAAGTTTTATATTTATTTTTTTAGTCATTTTAACAATTATTGAACATAATTGAAGTACAGTACAGGAAACTAGTTTTATGCGTGCCAAACAGCCTGTCAACACCAGTGGCGTGTCGTGAGAAAATGCTAGGGTAAGCAAATGACGCTTTCTTACTTGTAAAGTCACGAGATCTAAAAGAATTCTTTAGTAGATCACATACAGTCTGTATGTGATCTACTAAAGTGTTGTTTTTGCCTCCCAACACTACATCAATCATACAGCCAATGGACCAGAATGTGATCAGCATCTTTAAGAAGCTGTACATGAAGAAAATATTTAGGAGGTGTTATCAGGCAACTTCCACTGATCCTGAACTAACACTGGCACAGTTCTGGAAGACACTGTTTAACATCCTGGAGGCTGTAAAATTGATTGTGTCCACATGGCAAGAAGTCTCCACTAGATCCCTCAATTTTTCATGGAAAGCATTGTGGCCATCAGTAGTCCATGATTTTGAGGGATTTCAGGATGAAACAGAGTTGCACCAGGAGATTGTGTTCATTGGTCAGTCATTGGGCCTTGAAGTGGAGGATGATGATGTGGAAGAGCTTGTGATGTCTCATGAGCAGGAACTTACTTCTGATGACTTGCAGCAACTGGATGAGATGTTAGAGGCTGACAGTGGTGAGGAGGAAACGGAAAGTGATGACCATATGTCAACTTCAGAGTTGAAAGATGTTGTTCACCACTGGGATAAGTTCAGGAAACTGTCATGTTAAGGACACAGTGGTCTCCTTTAAACATCAGTTAATGATGAGGAGGAGAGATGCCCCACAGACAAAAATTGACAGTTTCTTCAGTAAAAGGCAGCGGGAACAAGATGCTAGCCCTCAGCCTTCCACTTCAAGAAGGAGAAAGGATGTTCCTGGTGGAGAATCTGTCAGTCCAGAGGTTCCTGACATTCTAATGGAAGGAGACTCACCTTCCAAGAAGCAGTAAAATGCTTCTCCACCTCCACTTCCTTCTCTTCTCGCTTCTCCTCCTCCCACTTCTAATTCCCATCATCATCATCATCATCAACCAGGAGCCTTCTACATACACACCTCAAAGTAAGTGTACTTTATTGCATTTTTTTTACTTTGTATGTAATTTTCGGTGAGCTGGAACCAGTTACCCAAAAACCCATTGAAACAATGGTTTCGGTTAACGAATTTTTCGGTTAACGAGCAACCTTCTGGAACGAATTGTGCTCGTTAACCAAGGGACCACCTGAGAAATTACCTTCAAATAAATTTCACTTACATTTACAAGCCAAATTGATTTACCTTTCTGAGTGTCTGGTATAGTACTAATTATAAGTTATCTACTTATAACTTTTATAAAATAAATAAATACAAAAAAGATAATCCAGCACACTATAGCTAAAATAAAAAATAAAGATTGCTTAAATTACGACAATATCTTAAGTTAAGAACTATTGCATGTATGGTATAATACTGTAATATGAATTGTCTGGGAATGATAACTTATTTTGAGTCAATCTGTGCCAATCCAATATTTTAACTCATTATGTAGTTGCCTCTTTGTACAGTAGTGGTCCCTTGGTTAACGAACGCCTCGGTTAACGAAATTTCGGTTAACGAATTACAGTACCTTCCATAAGAATCTTCATTTCGGATAACGAACAAAAATTAGGTTAGCGAAATTTTTACGAAAATGTTTCGACGTGCTTTGGCTTGCACACCAGCTGGACGATTAGTCCGCCAATACAGAAATCGGTTCTAGGGCTTACATTCGTTAAAATTGGAGTAAATATCAAGTAGGTTGTACTATTCAATAATTTTCCAAGTTTTATATTAAATTTTTTAGTCATTTTAACAGGGAACCTTCTGGAACGAATTGTGTTCGTTAACAGAGGGACCAATGTAGTATACTAACAGTTGTAAAAAAAAGTTTTTGTCAAATAGTGATAACTTTGTTTTTATTGTTATAATTCAATGGAAATTTATTTGTATATGGTAAAAAAATTTCTGTTTCATCTAAGGCATCGTTGTTACTGCTGTATCTTCATATAGATAGTTGGCATCACTATTATCTGTTAATATAGTTGGCTGGTCACACCATTAGCACTTGAGTTTATTGGGTGTATTTCTAAACCCAATGAGTTTGTTTAGTTGTTTTATTAGAGAACTAGAATTATCCAAACATAGGGTGAATGCCCTTGAACAATGTAACTGTGCACTGTGAGCTGGTAGTTAATGAGAGATTATAAGAGGCTGAGGTCAGAGCCTCTAATGATGCAGTCTGGCATCTAGAAGGTCCAGTTGCAGAAATGAGTTCCTACACTCCCTGTGGTAACCTGTGTCAACAAATGGCCAACCAATATGACCTATAGCAAACCCATCCACCAATCACATCCGTCGTTACTCGACCAATACCCATTCTTTCATAAATAGTGATACTACTACTGTGATGGTGTCGTTAGGAGACACGGGTTACAACAGGAGGTGTTGGAACTGATATACTCTTCGTGAAGCCAGGTAGAGCTCATGATCCCAACAAGGTTTATGACAGTAGCAAACTACAAGCAAATCTGGGAAACATGGGCCAGCATCTCCTTTTACTTCATTCAGTTAACAGTTGACACAACATCAGCTCTTTATGGAAAAGGCAAAAAAAAAAAGCTCTTCATGTCCTAAAGCATAACCAAGATATATGTGATTAAGTAACTGTGTTCAGTGATCCAAAAGCTCCAGCAGATGATGTGGTTAATGCTGGCCAAACCTTCACTCTTTATAAGCATGGAAGTTGCACAACTGATTCCTTGGACAAAAATCGGTTTTATGCGTACAAAACAGCTTTAGCTCGGATAAAAAAAAAATCCAAGTTTGACTTTGCCACATTGCCACTGACATCTAATGCAGCTCATTTACACTCCATAAAGAGCTTTCCTTCAAGTACAAAATTGGCTTGGTAACTTCCTCTCTCCCATCCACTGGTGGTGGGAGAAATATGGAGTAGGACTTCGGTCAACACCCACAATAAAACCTCCAGCTCCTGATGACTTCCTGCATTTAGTGTCCTGCAACTGTGTTAAAGGATGTTGCCATTACTGTGAAAGTTGTTGAGCTGGATTATTCTATTCATCCATATACATACAGTACCTACCCAATGAAGTCCCAATGAATTTAAAAACCTTTTTCACCGTCCCAATTTTTTATATATTTAGATAGAATATATTCAAAGTTGATAGAAAATGAGTTTGTTGTTTCCATTTGCATTCAAAGATTGTCAGTTATTTACAAGAGTAAAGTATTCCCGGCTGATCAAGAACGTGCAGCCGCGAATAAACAACACTGTGTGCCTTGTTGTGTCAGCTGACTCATTAAACGCCAACCATTGGCCATCCCAGTTTGGCCAAAATCTGGTGAAATATAACTCAAAACAAACGTCACAAACACCAGAGAATAATAATTTTTGTATCTCATAGATATCCTCTTAACACTTTTATGTTTGTTTGGTCATGTGAGGATAAGTAATTTTATTTTAGTTTTGGTTACATTTTTTGTGTTTGAGCAAATATTATTGGGGTACTTGAGGCCTGGGTTGTGGTCACAGTGGGTTATCGAGCTGATTTGGAAATATTGGTAGCCCTGTCCGGTACAACGCGATCCTGACCTATCGTATTGCCTGAAGCACGTTCTTGAATAACCTCGCCCCACACAAGCGTTTGGTGCCTGATGGCCAAGTGCACCATCGGACTTGAGGATATGGCACAAAGTGGTGTGATATAAAAATAGACCCTATCTAATAATAAAGATTACTGTAAATACGAGTAGATAGCTCATTATATTTTCTGTGTAGTATTCATTAACACAGTACAGTATATAACAACAAATACCTACAATATTTGCACAAGATGGCTAGTTATGGTGAAACGATTTAGTATTAAACTATAGTTAAGGCTTATCTCTAGGGATAATCTACTTAAAAAATCTATGGGTGAATTCCCCAGAGTCCGAGTATCACAATGCCTGTTGGAGGGGGAGTTGTGATGAGCAACACAGCCACAGTCTGAAGTATCTACTCACACTTGAAGTTACAGCGAGGTTGGCCAGCAAGTGGTGCATGGTCCCTGGGCCACACTTACTCCATAGCATATCAGTGCCACTATTGGAAAAACTTTTGAACTGCTGACCCCATAACCCAGAGTATTGAAGTAAATAAACTAGTCATCTCCCTTAGTCAACAACTCCCACAGTACAGAGGATGGCCATGATGGGTCACAGTGTACAGATGGTCATGATGGAACACAATGTACAGAAGATGGTCATGATGGAACACAGTGTACAGAAGATGGCCATGTTGGGACACAGTGTATAGATGAGGGCCAGGATGGGACAGTAGAGATAAGGGCCAGGATGGGATAGTATACAGATGAGGGCCATTATGGGTCAGTGTACAGATGAGGGCCATGTTGGGACAGTATAGATGAGGGTCACGATGGGACAATATACATATGAGGGCTATGATGGGACAGTGTATAGATGAGGGCCATGTTGGGACACTGTACAGATGAGGGCCATGT